TTTGTTTTTGCCTTTTTACTTGGGATTTTGATAAAACTAGAATATATAATCTAGAAAAAAAACATATATAATCCCATATTTCTTAGGGGTGGAACAGTTCACAAAATCCACGGTTTGGTTCGGTTCACGGTTTCGTGGTCACAGTTTTCGGTTCGGTTCGGTATATGTTTATTGTTACACTGAAGAATAAAAAAATTCATAAAAATTAATGACAATTTTTTTTTAATGAAATTAATGAAAAAATCCCCAAAAAATAATTAGTTGTAATTATTTTTAATGATTCGCGGAAACCCTGGATCATTTCCGTATGTTTTGCTGCTTTGAATTTAATCATCTCGCGCTGCTCTCTACGATCTCCAGGAAACTCAGAGTGGAGTGGACGGGAGCCACAGTGGAGGCTGTAGGCTTTGCTTTGTGCAGGCGGTCTGGAGCGCAGCGGAGCGGAGCAGAGCGCTGATGGAGTATGTGGGATTTCGGGGTTAGCATGACATGTTGGTCATGTTGCTGTTAGCATAAACAAAACTTGTTGCACAATGCTTGCACACTGTTGACTTTTATCCACAACTTTCTTTCCGCCGTCATCATAGGTCACTCTAAATGCAAAGCGCTCCCATAAAGCAGACCTATAAAGTGCTGCTGGCGCGTCTTCCAAGTCCTGTTCTTTCCCACTTGCCATTCCGACACAATTCTCCACAACAACTGATTTTTTTCTGCTACACCCGGCTCTGCTGCTATGCTTCTTCTTCTTCTTGTTTACTACTGGTGGTTGGATTTGGTCGCAGTACCGCCACCTTCTGCTCTAGAGTGTACACGCTTCGCCTATGAGAGAAAGGAGCAGCGCATGAACCGAACAAAACACACGCGAACCGAACCGAGACAGTCGAACCGAACGGTTCGGACGGTTTTCATAAACCGTTCCATCCCTATTGTTTATTTGTCCAATATTCAGAGGAGAACTGATGGACTACAAACACTGTCCATTTTGCCAGGTCTTCCAGCCAAAAGGTCTTTTTCGCTTGATTTGAAATAAGATTATTAATCGTATTTTGAGGAAATTCTACTACAAATAAGTGTGATAACTGTTTTGTTTTTTGTTTGATTTTGGGGGGGGGGGGATCAATAATTGTTTATAAATGATCCAAAAGAGCTGTAAGGAATATTGAAAAGACAAAATATCCCGCATTTGCTGCAGATACTAGCAAATCCCTTGCTTATCTTTCTCTCTTTGGGATCCTCATGAGACGTTCTTCCAACCAGGCCTAACTAATGTCCCTAGTTGTTCACTTCTTCTACTGATAATGACTAATAAGTCTCTAGTTCACTGCTGCCCCCAATGGGTCAGATTGGAAAATGGGAAGCGAGTTGATGTTGAAGCAAAGAAACAAATCCGGAAATCCAAACTTTTTCTTTTTGTACATCTTTAACTCAAACTTGTTTGGTTTCATACTTTTCCAGACTTTTAGGAAACTTGGAGCAAAAAAAAAAAAAAAAAAAAAAAGCAAGAGCAAAGTCCAGAGAAAACCTTTGAAAGGCCTTCAGAAAGCCTGCAGAACTTACTGATCAAGTGGCCTTTCAAGATTACATGAAAGTCTTGGTTGCTTGAAAGCCCAAATGTGAAGGAAGGAGAGCAGGGTTGGAAGTTTAGGAATGCCCTCTCAGACATAAAGTCCTCCCCATTCCTCCCTTCCTACGCTAAACTCTGCACCTCAGCTTCTGCTGCTAACACCTCTCCTCACTCGGCTTATTTTTAGAGTAATTTGTCGGCTCTGTTTTTCTTTTTAATGGCTCCAAAAAGAAAAGCCCCAGCGCTCTGGGTTGGGGGGGGGGTTACTGAGGAGGTATGAGGGGGCCCCAGCTGTGGGTGCTTTGATTTGGCCGGCGAGGTGAAAGCGGCGATTGAGGCGCGAGGCTGTGCCAGTTATCTTAACCTCCCACACTTCAAAAGCCGGGGGAGACTCCTTCCTCCCCCTTCCCTCCATCCGCCCGTCGCGTAGAGGCAAAGGCATTGGGGGAGAGAAAAAGGAGGGGGTGTAAACCTTCCCTCACCCTTTAAACAGAGCAGCGTTTCATTTCCTGCAAAAAAGAATCCAGCGAGCATTCTTGAGCTCTAATGTAGAAGGAGGCAGAGGAGGGAGGTGAGGAAGGGTCAAGCTGCTCCTGAATCTGAGCGTTTGTCGGCCAGACTTGTGAAGCTGGGGCCTTTCGCACCCGTACAGCCACCCACCACCCCCGCTGTGACCACCGGCACTTTTTTCTATCGCCGTTTCTTTTTAAACGCACTTAAACAAAGTCGCCCAGAGCCCTCAGGACTCTTCCCCAGGCAGGAAGGTCGGTGATTTTCATGTCTGCCATGGAGGAAGGAAAAAAACGCTCCCCAGGAAACTGGGTGCAGGGGGCCGGGCGTGCAGGCCTGCTTTGAGATCCTGGGATGAAAAGAGGCAGGGCGGCGGAGGTAAATAAAAGCGACAGGAGATCTCCCTCTTTTTCCGCGTGCAGCTCCGGGGTCAGCTCTCCTCGGGAAAGGTGGCCTCTGTCCTGTTCCCTTTTATCCACATGTGGTAAAGCAGTCTGCCGCTTTGTGTCTGCTTGTGGGGTTTTAGGACTTTCTGGGCGTAAAGAAGCAGCGAACCGCAGGACTCCACCGACTTCTCTCGCAAAAAAACCCTCTCCTTTCCCAAAAGGGAGAAACAAACTAATATGGTTGCTTCTTTTCCCCTCATCCTGGCTGTTCAGTCACAGGAGGCATCTACCCACCTCTGTCTCTGCCTCTCCACTTTGATCACCCATTCCATTTGATGCTTCTCCGGTCTAAAATAACTCTCCCTTATAGCCTGTCAATAGCACAAACAAACTCTGATACGTTAGCCGAGATCACAGGGGGGAAAAGACGAGTTTGACAAACAATTTCCCAGCGTGGGAGCGGGGGCCAGTTTCATTAGCATCTCTTAAAGTCGATTTGGATAAAGCTTTGAGTCTGAATCCGATTTAGAACGTTTTTAACCAGCCTGGCCATCGCTGTCATCCTTTAGTGTGATCCTGTGGGTAGTTTTCCGGAAGCATGGAATCTGGCATGTGGTGTGACGAAACATAAAACATTTGACCGCATGAGAAATAAGGAGGAAACAAAGCCGACTAAGAAAGCTCACTGAGTTATTGTGCTTAAAGCAAAATCAACATGAAAAGACCACCATGCCACCATGCTAACAGAGGAGCATTTCAACTTTTCTTCAGTTCAAACTTCAAGTTAAAAGCTTAAAATCTGTTTTTTATGCCTTTAAAAAAGGAGAGATATGAGATCAATTTAATGATCCAAATCAGGACCTCAATAATTTTTTCCCCATGAACTATTTCTAATTTATTCTCATTTTAGAAAAGTTTTTTTCTGTCAAAATGTTCATTTCTATGCCGATGATATTAAGTTGTATATCCACTACGCAAACTGATTTATTTATTCAACTAAAACGCTTTTTAGAGCTTGCTTTGTACCAGATCTTTGCTTCATTTTCATTTGCATTGGAAAGTGGGGCTACCTTAATGCTAACCCTCGTCACGGCCAATCAGAGTGGCACAGAGGCTTCCTCTCATGGCGCTATATGCGCCCTTTGACTCTGATTCGCCCTTTGACTCTGATGTTTCTGCATGAATGTTTGCATATTGGTGAAATAAACTGGATGAAGGTGCTAATTGGGTTCAGTCAGTTCTCAGGAAAAACGGTTAAATGAAGTGTCCCTGATTTTCTGCAGAGCTTAAATCAATCTGATTTTTCCCACATGAAGCAATTTTTATTCATAATGTTCTAATAAATCTCTTGCTGACTGCCTAATGAGTTGATGACCCTAGTCGCTTTTTATGAGAGAACCACGTGTCCAAGTCAATGAAGCTCATTGTTTCTTATCAAAATGGTGTTTCGAACTGAATCTATAAACACTGTCTGCAGCTGCATTTTATAAACCCCTCCAAGCCTTTAAATTTCCCCAATCTCTGTTTGTAAATCTTGCTAAAGTACTTGTTGCATCTCCTGTTCCCATTACTGCTTTAAAGTCCCAACCTGAGGTAGCAATGCAGGTCAGGACTGTAAAGACAGTTTAAAAACACAGAAAGGTCTTTAAAGCAGTGTTTATAAACTCAGATGTAGTTATTTTTTCTTATAATAAGTGCATTTGTTCTTGGATTCAGGAGGTAAAATAGATACTTTGTCAATGCTACAAGGCAATTTACACTTAAAATAAGAAAACATGATTGCATCATCTTATTTCAAGTGCATATTATCTAATTATCTTAATTTATGAGTGAAATTACTCATCCAATTGGCAAACTATCTCATTTACCTACTCAAATTAAGGGTAAATACACTTCATTTAGGACATTTTTACTTATTTCTAGATTGTTTTTCCAGTTTGACTAGTTTCCCTGCAACAAAGAAGTTCAGAAAACCAAAAGGGGAATCAAAGTAAAGTAGCTCTCTCACATGAAAGTTTGTCTAATATATATAAATCGACTCAGGATAAAAACTATCAGAGTTGTAGTGGTGCTGTTGTTACCTTCTGCTGCCCTGGAAGCATAATGTGGGCATTCAAAGAAAAAAGCCAGCTTTGTTTTTGCCTTCTGTGTTTCCCTATTGGCCGAATGCAGCCGACGTTCTAACGTCAGCCAGAAGCTGCACGTTTGGGCGAGGCTGAAGGCAGGAGAGAAGCGCTGCCAGCTGGGTCACGGCAGCCCCCTCGTGTCGGCCTGCTTCAAAGCCTTTGCCGACCAACATCCTGTTGCTGACCTCTGACCCCCTCTGTAGTTCAGAGCGTGGCTTGACACTGCATTCAGTCCGCTGACTGGCCAAGAACAAAAACACTAATGATGGATAGAGTAGATGGGAATGATGATCTGCATGCCTGCGGGGTGAGACACCTCGCAGTGATCCGACTCTTCCTGGTGTGTCCGTCTGGAATGTGAGCAATGTTTTGGTGCAGATGATTAAAGTCCTCTCCTGTTTTCTGGTTCCTCAGGAGGAAAGAGGAATAACTTCTCCACGTGCAAAGCTAAGGCAGCAGCGACGGGCCCTCTGCTTGAGATGGAGTCCTGTTAGATTCCACAAAGACCCTAAAATCTCCAACCTGAAGCCTCCAGTTCTCAGAGGGACCCCCTTCTCCACCTCCACCCAACACTCTACCCTTTCAACACGGCCAAACCGGAACAGATTAGACTCTTCCCACCTTCTCCTGAAGGCGCCTCTGCTTTGGAGACACTGAACTGAACAAGACAATCATGATTTGCAGAAGCACCTTCACGTGACCCTCACAGCAGAACCCCAGAAGTCCACCCGTCTTCTTCTCATTTCTGAGGGCACTGCACTGAAAACCGCAGCACCGACTCCTCCACCAGCACTAACTTATTCTAACTTATTTGTCACCTGTTCCTTTTGTATAGCCCATTAGGCCCACCCTCACTTCACCACCCCTCCCTCTCTTCCATCTCTCACTGGAAATGTTTTTAAGACATTTCGGGTTTCCACCCGGCCGACCAAACACCTCTTTGTGTTTTTTTTTTGTTTTTAAAGACTGCACTAAGGAAGATGGAGGGATCTCATCTCGTCTCACAAAAACGTCCTCGAGCTTTTAATGTGCCGCTGACCAAGCTGATGCGGGGAGGAGAAAAAAAGGATCATTTTTCTCTTTGCTTTAGACTGAATTTGATTTTGAATGCTTTTGTTTTTGTATCTCGTTTCATCCTCTCGGTGTATATTTTAGTGACTTTTGTTTTTTTTTTATAGTGGTATATATGAAAATAAGCTTTGGACACAAGAAAGCCAATTTTCTTGTTGGAGCGTCTTGCAGAAAAATGAAAACTTAAGGCTTCTTTTGATAACTATTTGTAACAAATGGTGACCTTGAGTCAGCTCGGATGTAACGTAATCGCTCGGTATGTGTACTTTAAAAAACAAAACAAAAAAAAAACTGTCAGGATCTGTTGGATTTTTCTGGATATTTTTGCAGGCTACATCAGGACACGGGCAGGAGTAACAGCTCAGAGGCCTATATTTTATTGCTCGGAAACATGACAAATGAAGCAGATATATATATTTACCCCAGCACTTGATGACAGTCTTTCTTTTATTGCAATGGACCTTTTGTCTTTTCTCTCTCTGGTAGCAGATAGTGTCGTCTTTTTAGCCATGTTGTTTATTCCATATCTGTAACATTTTTTATTTTTATTTTGATGCTCTATTTTAGTATTACTTGACAAATTCATTGTTTTTTTTATTATAATTATAATATTTCCGGCCATTGTTAACTTGGAAGAGCATTTTGCTTCCCAGGAAGTTATATTTGAATTGTTTCAACGTGTTTTTTTTGTTCTTTTTTTTTTTTTTTTTAAAGAAAATAAAAGGCACCATTGTCTCATTTGAGTCGTGTGGTGAAAGACTGAGCTGAAACCTAAGCGTGTTTTAAAACTCCACAACCGAAAAAATTGCAAAAAAGAGCGTCCACTCACAAATAACATGTTAATAGAAATTAACATGTTAAGGATCCACTAAATATCTGCATATGGAAAAAGCCTAAATGATCAGATTCCATCTTGTTGCAATTTTGGTGAAACAGCACCATCTGGTGGTCAAAAGCCATATCTTCCAATTTAACGCCCTTGATTGATTCCTAAGACTATTAGATACTTCAAATATCTTCCAACATAGTGACATTTGTTGTAAACATTCAAATAAATTTTCTGGGGTTAAATGTACAACATAAAAATGCATCATAACAGCTTTGTTGTTTTGCAAACTATATTTAAGTCCTTTTCATAGGATAGGATTAGTCTTCTTTGGTAAGGGTCTGCCTAAGCGCCACATCCTGATATATTAAAATATTCTGATTGGTGAAAAGATCACATTTCTTCTCTCAAACCTATTCAGGTGACGTCAAAAAGTTTAATCAAATTTTTTTTGCTTTTTCTTTTTTTTTTTTTTTTTGGACCTTAATTTTCCTCTCATGGAGTCCCACTTCTACCGATTTGGGATGTGGGCCTGGCATCAGTGTTGCCAAGGAAAAGAAAAAATTAAACCACTTTGGATTTTTGTAAAGGTAATCTCAAATTGTCTGGTTTTTAAAACTTTAAATAATTTTATCCAAATTGACAAATTAAACACTTAAGTTCCACTTCCATGTGAAGAAAGGTAAAGCTAGAACATCATACTTCAATCCTGTGTTTTGTTGTGGAAGTCTTTTGATGGGCTGATTGTTTCATACCAAATAATTTTTTTTATAATTGGCTTAAATATTTGAATCTGGTTTAATCAGACACCAAAACATTCAGCAATGATGTTTAGGAAGGTTTTTGCCCATTTTTGAAGTCTGGCTTCCTTCCACGGTCCAGAAACGCAGCATTTAGGATGATTTTGTCTCCCACCATTGCCCTTAGAAGTGATAGAGGGAGTGTATGCATGGTTGTTTGCCTCTGCCAGGTCTCTGTTATCCCATGAGGGCCAAACATCAAATAGCGGCTGGAGATCAAATATACAGTGGTGTGAAAACATGTTTGCCTCTTTACTGATTTCTCATTACTTTTGTCATACTTGAGTTTCAAAACATCAAAGAAATTTAAGTGGAACTCAAAATCATCACAAGGAAACCTAAAATATTTTTTTTTTTTATGATTGAAGAATAAGAAATTAAAATATCCGTGGCCCTGTGTGAGGATTAGGCTGAAATAAAACAAGATGGGCTTAAAGTCTGATGCATCAGGGTGTTCCTAATCAGGCTCCATGTAAAAAAAAAAAAAAAACAAAAAAAAAAAACCTAAATTAACTTTCTTCCGATCGTTTATGTGGAGATCCAGAAAACCGCAGCAGATGCTTTGAGCGGTTGGGTTTTAAACCACTACAAGGAAACCACAGCCTGTGTTAAAGAAGCATGGCAGAGAACACTACTGGGAAAGAATATTTTCCTAATGAGTTTATGGACTTAATCTCAAAGACTTGAGTCTTGTTGAGCAAAACACGATGCTGATTTTATTGTGGATCTCTGTTCCTGGCTACAGTCAGACATAAACGGTTTGAGGCTGGTTTGAGTTTTCAGTCACACCATGTTCTCAGTGCTCCACTTTACGTTACAACTTTATTCCAAAATGGATTCGTCAGCGGTCGGTTAGGCAGAGTTCCCCTGTGGAGACAGGCATCCGGAAAATCAACCGCTGCTGATGCACGCCACTAATCAGGCCTGTAGGGTGGAAAAGGTAGGAATAGTAGCTTAACAATTTATTTTCATTTCAAATTTAAGTGATAATATATAGACTGGTTAAACCAAAACAAGAACAGATCTTCACCTGGCTAACATTCCTACAATGGAGCACAGCAGCGACAGTATCATGCTCTGGTTTGTTTTTTCATCCAGGGCTGGGTAAGTTTTCGACTTGCGTGTGAAATGACAGCAGCCAAACACAGAGAGGATTCTGGGAGAAAAAAAAAAACCCTCATTGGAGGGCCCTTGACCTCTGACACCAGCGAACAGGTGATTGGCTGTAGTCTTCTATCCCCTCGGGAACTTTAGACCTCCAGGACCCAGAGGCCAACGGGTAAATGCATCTACAAAGAATCCACCTTGTGAAAATGTATCTGAAAATAAATCCAAATTAAGGGCAGCTGCCCTTCATTTAAGCTGGTAAGTAAAAATATTAGAGTGGAGTAAGTCCTTTAGCCCCTAAAATTATATTTATTTTCGCTGCACTTGAAATAAGATGATGGATGTTTTATTCTATTTTAACTTCAAAAATCTTGAACCATTGGTAGATTATTTTGCTGGCCTATGAAAATCAAGTGCAAATTTGTGTATTTCAAGTCAAAGTTTTTTGTTTGTTTGTTTGTTTATTGCAGTGCGGCAGGCTGGGAATATAGATAATACACTGCAAAAAAAAGTCTAGAAATAAGTAATTTTGTCTTAAACCATGAGTGTTTACTAGGGATGCACGATATTGGGATTTTGGGCGATATCCGATATGCTGATATTTTAAAACTCATGTAGCCGATAACCGATACCGATACCGATGTTAAAGCTGGACAAAAATAAGTAGTCATTGAAAATAGCAGCGTTGTTATCCATTTCTGACACTTTGAAAAATAATATACTCAAATATATTTTCATATGCTGATATCCAATAGATTTTTAAAAACGCGGTATCGATATATTTTACTTTCAAAATCTCGTGAAATTTAATCGTTCTGTTACAAACTCTCGTGATATTTTGCAAATTCTTGTGAGATTTTGTTAGTAAAATAGATCGATACCGCATCAATATATCAACATACGTATAAAAATATGGCAAAAATTTGTGAATTTTCGGGGGATTTCGTAGCATAACGATGACATATAGCAATATTTCATTAGTAAAAGAGATTGATATGGTGTTTTTAAATGGCAATATATCAGCATATGAAGATATTGGGATATTTTAATGTATCAATATTTTTTCCCTCATCTTTAGAAGTTTTTAAGTCTGTAAAAAAGAAGTTTTTGAGGAAGAAGTAGTATTTCTTTTTTTTTTTTTTTTTAGACTTTAGAAACTCAGAAGCTGATCAAATATCGGGTTAAATATCGGTGGGGTGGCCGATGTCCGATATTCAGTTTTAAGGCCGATTATATCGTGCATCCCTAGTCCATCCATCCATCCATCCATCTTCCTCCGCTTATCCGGGGTCGGGTCGCGGGGGCAGCAGCTTAAGAAGGGAGGCCCAGACTTCCCTCTCCCCAGCCACTTCTTCCAGCTCTTCAGGAGGAAACCCAAGGCGTTCCCAGGCCAGCCGAGAAACATAGTCTCTCCAGCGTGTCCTGGGTCTTCCCCGGGGCCTCCCCCCGGTGGGACGTGCCCGGAACACCTCACCAGGGAGGCGTCCAGGAGGCATCCTAACCAGATGCCCAAGCCACCTCAACTGGCTCCTCTCGACGTGGAGGAGCAGCGGCTCTACTCCGAGTCCCTCCCGGATGACTGAGCTTCTCACCCTATCTCTAAGGGAGAGCCCAGCCACCCTACGGAGGAAACCCATTTCGGCCGCTTGTATCCGCGATCTCGTTCTTTCGGTCGTGACCCAGAGTTCATGACCATAGACGAGGGTAGGAACGTAGACCGACCGGTAAATCGAGAGCTTCGCTTTTTGACTCAGCTCTCTCTTCACCACGACGGACCGGTACAGCGGCCGCTTCACGGCAGACGCTGCACCAATCCGCCTGTCGATCTCCCGCTCCCTTCTTCCCTCATTCGTGAACAAGATCCCAAGATACTTAAACTCCTCCACTTGGGGCAGGACACCCCCCCTGACCCGGAGAAGGCACTCTACCCTTTTCCGGCTCAAGACCATGGCCTCGGATTTGGAGGCACTGATCCCCATCCCGGCCGCTTCACGCTCGGCTGCGAACCGATCCAGCGAGAGCTGCAGATCACGACCTGATGAAGCCAATAGGACCACATGATCTGCAAAAAGCAGAGACGCAATCCTAAGGCCACCAAAACGGATCCCCTCAACACCTTGGCTGCGCCTAGAAATTCTGTCCATGAAGGTAATGAACAGAATCGGTGACAAAGGGCAGCCCTGGCGGAGTCCAACTCTCACTGGAAACGAGCCTGACTTACTGCCGGCAATGCGGACCAGACTCTGACACCGGTCATACAGGGACCTGACAGCCCGTATCAAAGGGCCCGGCACCTCATACTCCCGGAGAACCCCCCACAGGGCCCCCCGAGGGACACGGTATCCCTAGTGTTTACCCTTAATTCTAGTAGTTAAATGGGATGATTTGCCAATGGGTGCAAATGAGTATTTTTACTCTTAAAATAAGATTATTAGATAATATGCACCTCAAATAAAACAATGCAGTAGCTTTTTCTTATTTTAAATGTTAATTTTCTTGTTCCATTGGCAGTGTCTCACTTACCTCCTCCGTTCAAGCCAAAATGCACTTATTTTAAGAAAAAATTACTTATTTTGATTCCCATTTTTTGTAGTGTACAGCTAAAATAAGAGTTTACTGGATCAACAACTTAAATTTAACAATAATGACAAGTGGTCACCAGTGCAAAGCTTGTTAAAAAAGATGCATTGTGCTCATTAGAGGAGGCTGTTTTCACCAGCTCGTGTAAAAATCGGATATAAGCAAACCCTGTTCTTTCTGAAAATAAGTGTATTTTCCTCATGTTGAGCAGGTAAGTTGATTTGCAAATGGAATAAGATCATTTATGTTTAAAATAATAGCTAAATATCTTTGTTGAAAGCGGAAAATACTGATTCCATTGGCAGATCAACCCAATTTTCTGCTCAAATTAGGAGAGGGGGCGGGGCTTATTTTAAGATATGTTCACTTATTTGAACATCAGTTTTGTCCAGGTTTGGGACCAATAAGAAACCGTAAAATGGATGTTTATCTAAAACCGGGGTTTCCAAACTTTTCAGGATGTAATCCTCCAAAAACAAAAAAATAAGACTGGAGACTCAAGATACATAGAATAACTTCACTCTATATTCATTTCTAAATAAAAAGTAATTACATTCATTTTTAAATAGATACGCTCCTAAAGAAGGGGTGTCTAATTTTAAGAAAAACCGCTGAATACCAGGAAAGAGCTACTTAAAACAAGTGAAATTATTTGCTCATGCAGCAAAAAAATTTTAAATCTAGAAATAAGCATTTCGAACACTAAAAATGAGAAATTATGTCTTAAAACACCATAAATAACTTTATAGCAGCTGCTTAAATGGCCAAGCTCCATCTGATATCAGATATCTGATTGTTCCTTATGTTCCTAACTGAGCACTTCGCTCTCAATCTGCAGGTTAACTAGTGGTTCCTAGAATTTCTAAAATTGCCTTGAGATGACATGTGTTGTGAATTGGTGCTATAGAAATAAACTGAATTGAACTGAATTGAATTCAAACTGTGTTTATTCAAGTTTGACATTCAGCGACGGTCTGGATGGAAACAACCTTTATATCCGCCTCCCTTAGCTCTCCTTTTCTCCGGTTCGGACTGATCACTTGTACTTGTAGAACCCCTCTCCCGTCTTTTTGCCGAGTTTTCCTTCTGCGACCAGCTTGTTCAGGAGTTCGCTCTGAGCGAAGATCGGGTTGTCCGGATCTTTCTCACTCCAGCCTAAGGAATCAGGAGGAAGATGCTTGTTTCCACCCAAATCTTTGACGTTAAAGGAATATTTAGAGACCAATTTTGGCTCACCATCTATGATGAACTTCATGGTATCCAGTCCCACATAGTCGCTGAGCTCAAACGGTCCCATGGGATAACCGGCTCCGAGTTTCATGGCGATGTCGATGTCCTCTTTGGATCCATGGCCTGGAGAAAGACAGACGGGAGCTGGAGTGAAACCATGGCAACCGTTCTAACAGAAAGCAGGACGGGGACGCACCTCTCTCATGCAGCCGGAGGGCCTCCATCATGTAGGGAACTAACAGGCGGTTCACGATGAATCCAGGAGTGTCCTGAACAAAAGAGAGCCAGTCAGGGCGGAACCTTCTGCGCCTGAGGTTTAGTGATTATCGGTTCTTGTAGAGCCGCGTGCCTCACCTTGCAGGACACCGGTGTTTTTCCCAGTGCTTTGCTGAAGTTCAGGAGGGAGTCGAACGTCTCCTGGCTGGTCGCCGACGTCGCAATGACCTGCAGAAAATCGATACGTGATGATGTCAGGACTGGAGTGACACCAGCTTCTACATCATAAACAGGAACCAGAAAAGAAAAGAACTTTTTTATGGAAAGATTGGCTGAGAAATGAGTCTAATGTTCAGACAGGAAGTAGAATCAGTGATCAGATCTGGTGGAAAACAAAGGACTAAAACCACAGCCCATCCTCTGCAACCACAAACTAAGACTAAGAACATAAACATCCGCTTTTTAGAGCTTGTTCTTCTGGACTTTGACTAGGCCATTCTTAAACACACAGACCTCTTTTTAGCCTCTAAAACAGTTCCTTTTAACAGTTTGAATATTTTTTTTATTGTACTTGTCACTACCGATCCGTCCCAGAAGCGTGATCCGTTCTGCGCACGCCCTATCAGCTCGTTTGAGCATCCGCGTCATCCTTGATTTTATTTTGTTAAATATACCTAAAATGACGTTTTCCCTACCGAAAAATAGTAAATTTACTACAATATAATGTGCTAAAGGTCAATAATGTATTTCCTGAGAAAATAAATGCATTAAAATCTTTTCTGTTTTATCACTCGTCTCTGTCTGATCTGCACCTGAAATAGGATGCTACGCTACTTCTGGGAGCTAACGTTTTCGGCTTTGGATTTAAACATTTATCTAGACTTTTTTTGAATTTCATGTTTTCGTTTTGTTTTAACGTTATGCTATATAGTGCATAATCTAAAGAAAGAAACAACTAAAATGCAAATAAACATGGTTTCATCATATTTCGCCGGACTGCTCTGAGCATGTCTGATGATGACGTCAGAGAAGCAGTTTAACGAAGAAAAAATAATAAGCATAAAAAATGTCTCACAAAAGCCATAAAACATTTTTTACAGATGTGTACTAGTATTATTTAGTGAGTTAAGGATATAAATAAGTAGTTTTAGTAACATAATTACATTACTTATGGACATCCGGATGTATATGCGTGGAACGGATCGTGCTTCCGGGACGGATTGGGCAGTGACTGCATTCCCAGAGCTGAATGCTTTATTTTATCAGTGCAAAGATCAAAACATGGACTCAGTCTGAGTGCCTCATATTTCAGCTCCTACCTCCTCTCCTTAACTCCTAATCCTTCACCTTTCCTGGGGTCAACAGTCCAGACAGCTGTGCTGAACCCAGACAGCCTTTCTACATCATCACGCACCGACACACACGGATGATGCCGGTCAAACTGGGACTACAGCCTCTCAGGTAAGAAATACAAAAAGTTACATCATCATAGCAAACGACTGTAGCTCTCTGTTAAAAACTGTTTTTTTACTCTGTGAGGTGGGCTGTGTCTATACGTCATGTCAGGCAAAGGATTGTGGGAAGGAATCAACCTTCCTGGGGCAGCTGGAAACATCAGGATGTCCCTATGATTACTACACTGACACCAAGGAGCATCCTACTTCCTGTTTCTAGCTCCTTCCGAAGTAAGGGCAGGATTCAGACAGCCTTCCACTGTGGTTAAGTCTTCGTATTGATTTGAGGTACAGGAATCAAGCTTTCGTCTTATCATTTAAAAAGGAATTCGTTCAGATTTTACATCCTTCTTTATTGCAATAAAATGTGTTTGATTCTGTTCCCGTTGGATGGAAAAGTAATTAAATATTCTGTTCCTGGTCCAAAACCAGCCTCCTCATCAGGATCTCCATTTTCCTCAGTCAGAAAGCTAGAGCGGTTTGATTAAACCAGGTTTACTGTGGAACATCCAGCTTCTTCTGCCTTTGCTGGCAGTTTAGTGACTTTTGAAATTTGATCGTTTGAGTTTTTCTGCCCGTGTTGTTCTTTGTCCTGTCCTGGCTGCTGTCACGTCATGCTTTTAGAAGCTTTTCCTTCTCTTTGTCTGATACCAGCTCACCCATATCAGGGAATAATGCTGCCACCACCTTGTAATGTAGGTCTAAATGTTGGATTTTAGTCTCATCTGATCAGAGGGTCTTCTCTAACCGTCATGGTTTCTGTAAGAATGACAAACAGGACCTTCTTCTCCTCTTAATTGTAGAGGAGAAAAAGGTCCTAGCAGATTCTCTTTGCAGTTGGCAATCAGAAAAAAATATAAAATCTATTTTTTTTTTTTGTGTGAAAACTTTAGAGATTTTCATATTTCTCCTGGAATCATGTAGTGTTCTTTATTGGTTACTAAAAATATCTCAGCTTATCAGTTGTAATACTTGATATTTTGCTGTTTTAATGACAATTTTGCTAATCAATCAATCTGTCGATTATTATTTCAATTAATCGATTAATATTCGGACAGCAAAAGGTTCCTTGAAGAGGATTTTGTATAAAATTTAAACCAAGTGAAGCTAAAATTACTCCAATTCTCAGTGGCAGATAATTCGGGTTTTTTTTATTTTTTTTTAATATCTTGAATGCAGTGTTTATTAGGGGTGGAACGGTTCCCAAAATCCACGGTTCGATTCGCTTCACAGTTTCATGGTCACGGTTTTCGGTTCGGTTCGGTATATGTTCATTGTTACACCGAAATCCCATAAAATTAATGAAATTAACGAAAAAAATCCAAAAGAATAATGAATTGTAATTATTTTTAATGATCCGCGGAAACCCTGGATCATTTCCGCATGTTTTGCTGCTTTGAATTTAATCATCTCGCGCATGCCCTCTACGATCTCTGAGGAACTCAGAGCGGAGCGGACGGGAGCCACAGTGGAGGCTGTAGGCTTTGCTTTGTGCAGGCGGTCTGGAGCGCAGCGGGGCGGAGCGCTGATGGAGTATGAGGGATTTCGGGGTTAGCATGACATGTTGCTGTTAGCATAAACAAAACGTGTTGCACAATGCTTGCACACTGTTGCACTTTTATCCACCACTTTCTTTCCGCCGTCATCGTAGGTCACTCTAAATGCAAAGTGGTCCCATACAGCAGACCTATAAAGTGCTGCTGGCGCGTCTTCCAACTCCTGTTCTTTCCCACTCGCCATACCCACACAATTCTCCACAACAACTGATTTTTTTCTGCTACACCCGCCTACGCTGCTTCGCTTCTTCTTCTTCTTGTTTACTATTGGTAGTTGGCTTTGGTCGCAGTACCGCCACCTTCTGCTCTGGAGTGTAAACGCTTCGCCTATGAGAAAAAGGAGCAGCGCATGAACCGAACGAAACACACGCGAATCGAACCGAGACAGTCGAACCGAACGGTTCAGACAGTTTTCATAAACCGTTCCATCCCTATTGTTTATACATTTTTCTACAATGTCGGTATAATTTCTGCTCTATGAACTGATAGCTAACCTTCGGGTAATGATTAAGCAATTACTAACTTAGTTGCCAATTCCTTCAATAAACTAATATTCGCTTCTGATTAATCCAATTAGTCCCGTTCTCCAGCTTTTTCTCTCCGCTTCTTTTCCGAATGACGGCTTTACGATCAACCGGAAGCAGTTCCACGCATATAGAACGCGACATTATATATCTGACCAAATTGTTTTTAGAAACTTTTTTTTAAATAAAGCATTTTAAATGTCAAGAAAATCACATTTAAGTATTTTAATGCCAATTAAGGCCTTAATAAAAAAAATAATAATAATTTAATTACTTTTAAGGATTTTTAATGACCCGCGGAAAACTTTGTGTTAAAGATGTACAGTATTCACACCTGCAGAGACTACAAAGCATAAACGTTCTTTGACTTCCGATAAAACAAGAAAAGAAAATAGTTCTAGTCTTTTCAGACTGTATTTTGGTTTGGCTCTTATCTGACCCGTTTGGTTCTGGACTAAAAGAATGGTGGCTCGGTGTGACCCACCTCTACCAGCTTCATCATGGGGACGGGGTTGAAGAAGTGTAGGCCTCCGAAGCGGTCCTGCCTGCTGGTGGAGCTGGCGATGTCAGTGATGGGCAGAGAGGACGTGTTGCTGGCGAAGATGGAGTGTCTGCGACGGGAAACAGATCGCTTTGAAAACAAAACCTCAGCAGTTCCTAACGAGACAGAGAGTTTTGGTAAAATCTAATGTTCCATAAACCCATCGTCTCCTATTAGCTGACGGAGGTAAAGCCCCTCCTGGGAGGGGTCCCACAGGGCTCAGTTTTAGGCCCCCTCCTCTTTCCCTTTGCCCTTTTTCAGAAAATAAAGAATGGAATTACATTTTATGCAGATGAAACCCAGAAATCCATATCTAAAGATAAACAACTTCGACTCTCCAATCCAAGTATTTTCATGTCTGTGAACTAAAGTTCAATCAGATAAAAACTGGGTTCGGTTTTACAAGGACCTTGATTTCTACAGACGTCTGACCTTTGAAAAGTAGTTTGTTTCTGTCAAAACCAGCTCTGCAGAAGATCCAAAAAAACATTATTAAAATATCTTAGGTAGAGTATCTTGCCCATAGTTTGGTCTCACTCGGGTTCATGAGAAAGCAGAGCTCCATGCAGTGGAATTGCAAACAGGACACCTTGAAAAGAAGAAAAACTGGAGCAACATTTTAGCCTTTATGCCTGAAGGTGGCAGCAGGTGAGAGCAGGAACTAGGGTTGTCAAAAGTATCGATACTCAAAAAAGTATCGATACTGAAATGTTGTATCCGGATACAATACTCGTTTTCAAAAGTATCGATACAGTGCTACCACCAGTGGCACCTAAGCAGTCATTCATCTAAAGTGCAGAATAGAGGAAAATGCACTTTCTGAACACTGTGTGATTCAATAATTCTCTGCACTTTTCAGTTTCACACTTTTTTTTGTAAGAGTTGCAGCTGCTGAGAATTTTTTTTGTTTCTTAACCGGTTTGGCTAGTGTCATTGTTATGTGTGCAAAGCATAGCCAAGGAAGGAACACTTAATTTTAATTTTATAAATTTTTTATCAAGCTTGCTTAATATTGTGCACAGCATACAACCTCAAAATATTGTTATTATTGTTTATTGTATTTATTTATTGTATTTTATTTATTAATGACAATATTTCTGTAGAATTTTGGAGTCTTTGTTTTGGTATCGAAAATGGTATCGAGCATCGAATATTTTCCTTAGTATCGGTATCGAGTTGAAAAAGTTTAGTATCGTGACAACCCTAGCAGGAACAAGAGTAAAACTTTAGTTCATTAGTCTGTAACCTTCAGATCATATTTAGCTCTGCAGCCTAGTTTTACTTTTTTTATTTATCCAATCATGGCGTCATTGTTCTTATAAATTTGTGCATTTGTATCATTTTCTGTGTTAGTTCAAATGCAATCGGACAGATCCCAACCATGACACTTCCAATCCTGCTCCTATTTACCTCCTTAAAGGAATAGTACGCCCAAAACATGATTAGCCTTCATTTTCTACTCACCCCCATGCTGAACAACACTCTGGAGTACTTTTTTGATATCTCAAATGCATCTGGAGATCTGGGAGGCTTCTTGCTGTCTGCTGACATTCAAATAATGGAGGTCCATGGCGCCCGAGACAGAAAGGTCCATAAAAGTCCACAAAAAACGTGTCAATATTCCTCCATACTGCTCGTCCAATCTATTCCAAGTGTCCTGAGTGGGTAGCATCCAGAATTTACTCAAAACGAAGTCATTTAGAATGTTTTTAGAGCATAAACAGTAGTGTATAGGATTTCCTGAAAGCGCGCACATGCGCGTTCAGGACGCTACGGAAGCTGGCAGACCAAATCAGCGCATTCAGCTCGGCAAAGAACTCATGCTCTTCCTCAACACTGAAGTCCTCAGACATTTTTCTTTCGTTGTTTCTTTCTTTGCACAGGTAAACAGCACATTTCTTCTTCTACGCTTGCATTATCGGCAGAGCAGACGCTGAATGCGCACTTTCATCTGGTTTGGTCTGCCGGCTTCCGTAGCGTCGTGAGCGCGCATGTGCGCGCTTTCAGGAAATCCTATACACTACTGTTTATGCTCTAAAAACATTCTAAATGACTTTGTTTCGAGTAAATTCTGGATGCTACCCACTCAGGACACTTGGATTACATTGGACGAGCAGTATGGAGGAATATTGACACGTTTTTTGTGGACTTTTATGGACCTTTCTGCCTCGGGCGCCATAGACCTCCATTATTTGAATGTCAGCAGACAGCAAGAAGCCTCCCAGATCTCCAGATGCATTTGAGATATCAAAAAAGTACTCCAGAGTGTTGTTCAGCATGGGGGTGAGTAGAAAATGAAGGCTAATCATGTTTTGGGTGTACTATTCCTTTAAAAACCAAAACATAAATGTTCTTCTCTAAACAAATGCTTGTTTGGGTGTTAACTGTCTACAGAGCAGGTTTATAGTGTCATCATAAGCAGAGCAGCTGCTTTCTGTGTCCCAGCTCATGTTATCGGTCCATGCTGGTCAGACACAGAACATCAATCAAAGTAGAAATTGATGTTTGTTCCCCCTGTGATCAGACAGGCTTCTGTCAGGACATGTGAGAATAAACGGTTCATTTCCAGCATTTTAGCGACTCTTACTTTGGAGCCAGCTTGTCAAGGCGTCCAAAAAGATCCTGTTTGACGTTCAGGTTCTCCACGATGGCTTCCAGCACCAGATCTGACGTGGGAACAGCAGCTGCAGGGTCTGTGGAGGTCGAGACGTTCTGCAGAACCTTCTGGATGAACTCTTCACCTGCCTGAAGAGAAACAGGAAGTTCTCTTCAAAGCGTTCAGCAGGTCTCTGTGTCCCTTTGAGGATCTGCAGCTTCTCACCTCTGGCTTATCAGCAAACTTCTTCTTCACCACTCTCTTCAGGCTTCCCTCGATTCCTTTTACTGATTTCTTCAGGATGTCCTCAGACGTGTCCACCAGCGTCACAGAGTGGCCGGTAGACGCAGCGACCTTCCAGGGAGGAAATAAAAAAGATTCAGAAGTCAGTAATAGAACTGGTTTCGTTCTCTTTATATCTCTATATCGGCTCGTTTTAAAGTCGTAGCCTCTAATCCAATATTGGAAAATATAAAAAAAATGAGGCCTCCTGATCATGGTTTTATTGTGGGTCCAGCTATCCGATACTTTTACAGCAAAAGCCTGTCGGTGTGCGTATCGTTCCAAGAAAGTCATGTGACCGACGCAGCAGCGCATCTGTCACAAAAATATCTTCTCTTTTGCTGCTTATCATCAGATTTATTGAGAAGTATGGAGCAACCAAGGCAAAGGAAAGGTTTCAGGCCTGCGGGACCATTTTGATCTCATTTGTTTAAATGTTCTCGTTCTGTCATCCTGTTCCTCTCAGTTATAATTCAACTTATCTGAATTTAAATTGACTCTTAGTTTCCTGTTCTTACTCTACTTATTTTTTTTTTCTTATTAATTAATTCATCCTAATCTACAAACACTCTGATTCATTTAATCACTACAATGTTCCAATTACAATATATGTTCACATTATTGATGGACTGCTTCAAAAAAACTCAAAGATATCCTCAATTTTAATGAAGATATGAAATAATACAATATAACATACAACAGCAATAATAACAACAATACAATCATATTATAGTTCCTCTAATCAGTCAGTTTAGTCTGTCAAACAGGCTGGCTGTAGTGATTTTAAAGGTCCAGCAGGTGGCAGTATTCAGTGAGACACTATCCACAGTAGCAGTTTGGTAATGTGTTGAATCATTTTCCCATCACTAGCTTATTCAGATGAGCTGTTTTGGCTTTCTGCGCCCCATCCTCCAAAAGGCTCCGCCCAAACAACCCGCAACCATGACAACCAGTCAGAGTTGGTAAAGATAGCCTAGGAGCGTGGAATAATACGTTAGATAAAGGCTACAGAACGCTCAGGGCAGCTTATTTCCCCTCATGACATCATTGGGGGAAGGCCTTTTAAGCACACATTAACTAAAAGACAGAGAAATTCAATGATAGAGGTGAAAGTTTTTTTGTTGTTGTTTATTTTTTTTCTATTTGTGAACCTCATCCACAGATTTCAGGACATATATGACTGATACAAAATGTTTATATTGTGAATTTTGCATAATATGGACATTTAAGTCCAAACATGAACCCCCAGTTTAACCATAGCAGATGGCCGCTCACACTGAGCCTGGTTCTGCTGGAGGTTTCTTCCTGATAAAAGGGAGTTTTTCCTCTCCACTGTCGCTACAAGCATGCTTAGTGTGATGGATTGCCTTCGAACTGGTTTTCCTTAGATAGAAAACTTTGAATGAATTGGACTGTATGATCTGGTTAACTGTAAAGTGCCTTGAAATGACGTGTTGTGAATTGGCGCTATAGAAATAAACTGAATTGATAGATAGATAGATAGATAGATAGATAGATAGATAGATAGATAGATAGATAGATAGATAGATAGATAGATAGATAGATAGATAGATAGATAGATAGATAAACTTTATTCCGGACTCATGATCCAATAAATACATACATAAAAATAAAATAAATAAAAAATAGTTAATGATAAAAACACAATACAAGTACCATTATCGATTAAATAGGATCTTTAAGAAGACAGGAATACCAGTGTCTCAACAGCTTAGACTGATATCGGATTGCACTACGTGTGGTATCAGTGAGTGACAAAATAATATCGTTTTCAGGTGCATTTAACCTACAAATAAACTTATACATTAACTTTCGTAGAACAGCTTGTAGGGTATTAACTCTTGCTGTGACAAACATCTCACTTGCACTGGACCATCTTGGACGTTTCAAAAGTAACCGCATAGCATCATTATAGGCCACCTGCAGCCTTTGCAGGTTGACTTTTCTATAGGTAGTCCACAGGTGAGCAGTGTACAGAGAGGTACAATATGCATTAAACAGTTCCACTTTGACTTTATCAGTACATGAACCGAATTTACGTGCAAGGGTATTAGCTTGAGCATACAACAATCTACGCTGTCTGCAAATATCTTCATCGTCTGACAGATTTTCTGTGATGATGTGCCCAAGATACTTGGTTTTATTTGTTACGCCCAGCACAGTATTTGACAGCAAAAAATCTGGAAACTCAGTAGATTTATCTTCCTTACTCCTACAGATCATGATCACACTTTTAGATGGATTGTACTTTATGTCGTGTTCCAGACCATACTCAGAGCAGATGTTTAGTAGTTGCTGTAACCCAGCAGTACTAGGGCTAAATATTACTAAATCATCTGCATACATCAGGTGATTAAGTACCGAGTCACCAGCCACACAACCAGTGTGACAAGCTCTCAACTTGTGTGACAGTTCATCCAGATACAAGTTAAAGAGAACTGGGGACAAAATCCCACCCTGCCTCACCCCATTACTAACTTTGAATGGAGCAGAGACACATTCCCCCCATTTAATCTGCAGTGTTTGCTGAGTATACCAGTACTTCAAAATACGAACAATATACTCTGGTACTCCTTTTTGTGTCAGTTTTGTGAATAGTTTTCTGTGGTTTAACCTATCAAATGCTTTTGATGCATCCAGGAAACACATAAACACTGAAGAGTTCTGCTTATTATATTTATAAGTAATCTCTTTTAGAGCATATATACACATATCTGTGCCCAGCCTAGCCTTGAAACCAAACTGGTTATCTGTAGACTTGATAACCTCTAAAATCCTGTCCAGCAGGATTGATTCAATAATTTTTGAAACTATGCTGGCCAGCGCTATCGGACGGTAATTATCAGAATTGCCAATGTTTCCAGTTTTGTCTTTAATGACGGGTACTAACAGGACACTTAAAATAGAGTCAGGTAAAAGCCCATGAATAAAAAACGATGTGAAACAAATGGAAAGTAGAGGAGCTAGCCTTGCATTTGCATACTTTAAATGTTCAGCTGAGACTCCATCCAGCCCAGTGGCTTTATTGTTAGATAATTTGGAAATAGCTTTATGAACCTCATAAGGCAGGATTTCATCTATATGAATTGAGGTTTCCTCCTGTTAAAGCAGAGTTTTCCTCTCCACTTTCGCTTCATGCATGCTTGATATGGTTTAGATAGAGGACTTTTTAACCAATCTGAATAATAAAGTGAACTTTCTGACATTTGGGATCAGTTGGGCTGAATGTAAAGTAACATTTGCTGTGAAGCGGCTGTTAAACTAAACTGAATAAAACAGATGTTTGTTTTTTTTCTGGATTTGTTTCATTATTTCAATCATATGGATCGAAACTATTTAAAAAGAGGATGGGTAAGAGAAGAGGTTCTCTCCTAAACATTTACCTAGACTGAACTGGGATCAGTTTGGCAGCTAATCATTAACAGGTTAACTTTCCAATCTGAGTTGATCTGCATAGAGCAATTGGATCCAGAGCAGCACAACTTTCATTTGCTCTGTTTAAAAAGGACAGACAGCTGTCAGGGTGTCTTATAAAATATGCACCGTGAATGCAAACTGTGGCTGGAGAACAAAACTATCGAAACAAGCAAGTTTGTAAAACATATAAAGTAATTAAATCCCAGAAAACCTTTCATTTGTGTCTCTTACTTGTGCTATTCCTGCCCCCATCTGTCCTCCCCCGATGATCGTCACGTTTTTAATCACAACTCTCCTGACAGCAGAGGAAGAGAAGCTTCTCCTGATTTGGTGGCTGAAAAAAGACATGTTGGAGCAAAAGATCTCCAAAAACAGCAGAGCTTCAAATCAGCAGAACCGGAGAAAGAAGCCGAACTAGGTGAAGGGTCGCCTGCAGACTTTTTCTTCACCTGCGAAGGTTAGATATTCAGCAGAGGAACCAACTCCAAACATCACTACCGCCACCTAGTGGACAGTTTCTATAAACCCAACAAAAACCCCAGAGAATTTATACATTTATCTCTCTCAGTTAAATACTATGGAAGAGGATTAGGGCCACTGAAAAATAAAAAAGATTAACTGATTTAAAAAAAAAACATATCTTTATTACGTTTTTCAACTTATACAGGCAAAAAAAAAAAAAAAACACAGTGAAAGACTGGAAAAATTAAATAAATAAAAATAAGTAAGTCAATAAATAAAACTAAATCAGGAAAACCTGTAACAATGTGTTCAAAAAAGAATAATATAGAGTACAGATAGTACAGAAAATACAAAACAAGCAAAAAAAAAAAAAAAAAAAAAAACATATAACAACATTAAAGCTCAGATTAATTAATCAATTAAAAGGGTGTTGGTTGAATACACACTCAAGTATGGTTCCCTCCAGGTCCATAGAGTCTCTTCTGTATAGTCTGTGCACTCTCTATGCCGATGTAATCTATGAATGGATCCCATGTTTTGTGGAATAACAGAGGTTTGTCCTTAAGCTAGTGAGTCATTGCCTCCAAAGGAATTAGTTCCTTCCCACTCTGCAACCACTGTGAAAGCATAGGAGGTTTGTCAGAGATCCATTGAAGAAGAACACACCGTCTGGCACTAAATAGAAGAACATCTAGCAGTCTCTGCTTCTAAGAATTTAAGTTCAATGCAGGATGCAAACCATGAACACAAGACAGTGGGATTAGGTCCAGATCCTTACCAAATATGTCAGAAATGTCTTAAGTATGTTAAGAGAATTCTGACATATTTTAATTTTTGACATATGCAGACATTTTTAATGAGGGGGCAGTCAAAGATGCAATGGTAAGTTAACTGATTTTTGAATTTTATTTCAGTGTAATATAAGAAAAAGTCAGAAATTTGACTTTAATCTCAGAATTCTGACTTTAATCTCAGGATTTTGACTTTAATCTCTGAATTCTAACATAATTCTGACAGCTAACAAACATGTTGACATCAAGCCGTTAGCCATGTCTGTTTTAGAGACTAAACTAGCTCTCTTCTTTTAATCACATTCTGCTGAAATAGCATCAATTCACCTAATTCCATAATTTTCCACTAATGTGTTAGTGTTCCTCCCAAACAGCTCACATCTTTGTCAGTGAAGCTGAGTGCTCCCAGATCTCTAGCTTCATGGTGCCCATCTACATTAAAATCCACAATTCTGAGATTAAAGTCAGAATTCTGACTTTTTTCCCATATAAAACTAAAATAATATTTAATCAGTTAACTTTTTTTTTTCTCAGTGGCCCTAATCCTCTTCTGTAATATACAGAGACTCTGTAAAACAAATAGATCAAATGCAGAGATACAAACTTTAAAACCTTGTAGGACAGATAATTACAAACATCAATTTTAAGACTTAATAACCTGGATCTCACACTGTTTGTTTTAATAAAAGATCTAAAGTTCATTTCAGAGGTTTTTAAACTTTATATAGATTTGATGCATAGTGCTAATGAGAACTGATTTTATTCTGCTGGCCTTTAGATTTGTTTTTCATTTTCTCACTAATAAGTTTGGCATTCAGTTTAATTCCTTAATTACTGTTATGTTTATTATTTTTGAACATTCATCATTTATTACAAATTTCAAAAAGGAAGTACTTTATGTTTTACAGATTTCTAAATATTTTTACAATTCATTTTTTGTAATTCAGCATTTTTATGTCTATTTCAATTTTAAAGGTTATTTTTTAAGACAGTGATTTGCCCCCCAGAGGAGGATAAATATATTGGCAGGGGGACGTAGCAGATATGAACTGAATAAATTAGCAGTTATAGGTATTTTAAAAAATATTTTGAGAGCAATGTAGAATTATGTTTGTGCAAAACCTTTCAATTATAGGCGAGGCCACCAAGAATAGTGTGGGAACCACAAATTTATGGGTAGTTAGTTAGTCCTGCTCAATTTAGCTATAGTGCGATTACACTTTTTCTTTTTATACTATTAAAATATCTGAAGAATAAAATAAACTTGTTAAAGAAATGATTAAAAACAAGATGGCACTTTAGAAATTAAGGCCTTTTTTTTGTATCATTATGAAAACTAAATTCCTGCTTATGTTCTTATCCAGTAGGATACGATGCCATATAAACTATTTGCCTGAAATAAACCATGAAAAGAAATATCTTTTTGACCAAACTTTTCTAACAGTTGATTCTAAAATTTCAAAGAACATTAAATGTTCCATGAAATATGTAATTTGTGGTTTCCTTATTTGAGTCACAAAATGCTCAGACATTAGTTTCAAAGTTTAACCTAAGTTTAAGGAATTCAAATAGATCAATATTGTGGATTAGTTTAAGGTATTTAGTTTGACTTTGACCATATTGATTATATTAGATCGTTTTTTACAGAATATTTTTTTATTTTTTTTATTTTTATTTTTTTACAGTGTCCTGTCTGGCAAGGTGGCAATAAGAATAATTGTCTTGATGCCAAAAGGAGCCCAACAGATTTTACTTTCACAAGTGTAGCGGTATCGCAATTGCCATACTGCTCCACTTGTTTCATGTATATAAATTGCTTTATTATAATTATGCAGGGAGTTTTACAGTTCATATGGACACTGCAATGTAAGTAGAGCAGAAAAACAGAAGAAAAAGAAGGAAAAAGAAAAGAAAACAGGACAAAAGATGAAAGAAAGAGGAGATAGGAAGGAGACAATGACAAAACATTTTCAGTCTGCTTCAACACCTGTAATGAGATGGAAAAAAAAAAAAAAAAAAAAGAACAGCACAACCAAAAGACATGGTACGAGATATACAATAAAGCAAACACCTTGAAACTATCGCTAAAGTAATATTATTAAGTCTGACATGTACTCTGTGTTACCTGAAGATATGAATGTGGGGTTTCTGTTTGGAAGTGAATCTCCAAGTACCTGAAGCCTAGCACCTGTAGTTGCTTGTGAGGGTGAACTTGTGCATGTAAAGTTTAACCATAGAAAAAATGCTCAATAGTGGTTGTGGAGAGCCGGAGAGGCACACCCCCCAGAGCACTGAGTCCAGCGCCGGGAGACCCAAAGCCCTAGGCGCCCAAAGGGACCCCAGAAGCGAAGGCACCAAGGCGGGGCCAGCCCCGGAAATCAGACCCCCACCAAGGGAGGAGGAGAGACAGCCACGAAGAAGCCCCCCAGCCACCGCCATGCCGGCGCCCCGGGGAGCCGCGGGGACGAGTCCGCGGGCCCCGCCGGCCACCCCGAAGTAGGGCCGGGCACCGAACACCAGCCCCCCCCACGGCGCCGACCGAAGCGCCCCAGCCCCACAGAGCACCGAAACACGCCCCGCCCCCCGGCACCAAGCCCCGGCGACCGGCCGCAACACCCACCGCGACCGCACCACCCAGGAAAAACACTCAGGCGGGCCCCGCCCCCGGCCGGGGCCCACGCGCATCCGCCGCGAACCGGCCGCGAGCGCCGCGGGACCCCTCCAAAACGCCCCCCCGGCCAAAAGCGAAGCCCCACCCCACCGAGACCGATGCCAACAGCGCGCAACGAAACACACCGCGCACAGAATCAGCCCGAGAGCAGAAAGGCCGCCCGGCGCAAAACCGCAAGAAGAGCAGACCGCAGCCGGCGCAACCACCCCCCCCAGCAGCCCGAGGGGCAGCACAAAGCCAGAGCGGAGCGAACCGCGCCACCCCCCCACCGGACGAAGCCAAAGCAGCTCAGCCACGTCCGCCGCCCCCCCCCCACCGCCCGCACCAGGCCCTGACACACGGCCAGAGCAGCTCCGCCGCCCCGGCCCCCCAACACGCGCCGGCCATAGCCACTCCAGGCCCCCACCCGCCCCGCAGCCCCACCCGCCGCGATCAGCGGGAACAGAGCAGCCCCGCCATGCCTCCAGGAGGGAAAACCCACCCGAATACCCAGCCAGCGCAGCCAGCCCGCCCAGACCGGCCCCCCAACACCACCCCCGCCGGAGCCGGCCGGACCCCCACATACCAGCGGCGCGCCGCCAGCAGGACCCCCACCCAGCAGGCCCGCCCGCCCCCCGAGAAAAGAGACATGCCAAACCCCCCCCAAAAAAAAAAAAAAAAAAAAAAAACAGCGGACACCAGACACCGACCCGCAACCGCTCCCCCCCACCGAGGAAGAGAAAAAAAAAAAAACAAAAACAAAAAACAACATAGATAAATACATAAATTAATTGATAAATTAATAATTACAATTAAAATAAATAGGCAAGAGGAGAAGTGCGAGCGGAAAAACCGGAGCCCAAAACAGGACCCAAGACCCGCACCCCACCATGCCGTGCAGCTCCCCCCCCCCCCCCCGAACCGGTACCACAGAACCGGCATAGGAAAGAAACACCGCCCAGGAACCGGCACCGACCCCGAAAATCCCCGAACAACACCCAGCCCCACCCCGAAGCGGATCCAGTCCCAGGCCCCAGGGATCCGAGGCCCCAAGGGCACCCGATCCCCAGACGGGAGCCCCAGCAAAGCCCCGGCCGGCCGGGGCCGGCGGAGAGGCCGCCAGGAATGAGCCAGCAGTCCCCCGGGCATCCACCCCCAGCTCCACCAGTGCACCGGTGAGCCCCGACGCCAGCCAGCGGAGGGAGAGCAGGACGGGGGGAATGGGCTCCGCACTTAGCGGAGACTTGAGATGTATTTGGAGAGGGTGCGGTTGAGACCCCAACCTGGGAAAAAAAAAGAAAAAAAAAAAAAAAAACAAAAAAAAAAACACACCATCTCAATCATGCCTTCCCTCCCTAGTGCCCCCACTCGTACCACAAGGAAAAAATAAATAAATAAATAAATAAATAAATAAAAAATAATAATAAAAATTGAATAAAATAATAATAATAATAAATAAAGAAAATCACAACGCGGACACACATTCACACATAACACTCACATCCAATAATACCAGGACCAAAAACCCGGCGACACCGGTGGTCGGTCCCGGGACTATCGGATGACCCCATAAGTGAACCTAAAATCCGGATGTGAGGGGAGGGGAGCGGCGACACCGCCACACCAACCCATCTCTTTCCTGCTTCAAGCCCGGCCCCCCACCCCGCACACGGACCGGACCGCCCCCAGCAAGAGCCCCCCCCGGGACCGGGGCCCACCCATCCCGCGCCGGCCACCCAACCAGAACCGCCCCCCCAAGGAAAGAAAGAAAAAAAAAAAAAAAAAAAAAACCTTCAACCAGGCACTTCATGCCCCTCCATCCAACCTTCTTTGGGGAGAGCAGAGGTGACAGCCCCGCCACCGGCAGGCCACCTAGGCCCCGCAGCCAGCCCCAGCCAAAACCACGGACCAGGTGGCCTGCTCTTCCTCCAGGCCCCAGACTCCAGGCAGCAGCCGGAGAACAGGGGTGTGAGAAGACCCCGATCCTCACTGCGCCCGCTCGAATGTGGTGTTGTTGCGTGTTGCTCTCAGATGCAATTAAAACTGGGAGTACCAAGAGGGGGTGTCCGGCACACTCCACCCCCCCTCCAGGAGCGCCAGCACACCCCCCCTTCGACAACCCTCAACCCTCAATGTCTAGATGCGAGAGGGGAAGGAGGAGGCCGACCGTGGTGAGGCCCATAAAATAAGCTTTATATAGATTTGATGCATAGTGCTAATGAGAACTGATTTTATTCTGCTGGCCTTTAGATTTGTTTTTCATTTTCTCAATAATAAGTTTGGCATTCAGTTTAATTCCTTAATTACTGTTATGTTTATTATTTTTGAACATTCATAATTTATTACAAATTTCAAAAAGAAGCTCCTATGCAGAAGAAGCACTTCTGTTCTTATATTGACTTGTGGGTAAAATAAATAAATATAAAGGATACATGTATGCACCGTAAGGTTTTAAAATCAAGCAACAGTTAATTATTATCCTGTGGTGCTTATTGTTGTAAAACTCACAAGTTCTTTAATCAGACTAAATTATAAGCTTATAAGTCATATTTGTTTTTTTTTTTAAATAATGGCATAAATTCTCTACATTTGAGAAAAGGTTCAGAGATTATTTCAGCCTGTTTTTCAGAGTAGTTCTTTTTCTCTGACTGTGACTTCCAGGTCCAACAGGTGGCAGTATTCAGTGACACACTATCCACAGTAGCAGTTTGGTAATGTGTTGAATCATTTTCCCATCACTAGCTTATTCAGACCTCCTCTGGATGAGCTGTTTTGGCTTTCATCCTCCAAAGAGCCCCGCCAAAACAACCCGCAACCATGACAACCAGTCAGAGTTGGTAAAGATAGACAAGGAGCCTGGAACAATATGTTAGATAAAGGCTACAGACCGCTCGGGGCAGCTTATTTCCCCTCATGACATCATTAAGGGAAGGCTTTTTTAAGCACACATTAACTAAGAGATTATCAACACCCTTGTTTATAGATGTTGGAGATCGGCCTGTTTTCCAGTGTAGTCCTGTTTCTCTGACTGTGACTGGCTGGATGTGCTCTCTTCATCCTCTGACATGGGAGCTCGTCTGCCTGACTGTGTGTTTCCTGGACTGGGCCACTTTTTACAGCTGCTTTTTGTATCTCTGCCTTTGTCTCCTTAAATCTCAGTCGGCCTTGGCAGATGGCCGCTCACACTGAGCCTGGTTCTGGGGGACATAAGCGTCGTTAGACCTATTTAAGGGTGGCTTCAGTCACCCTTTCTTTGGCATTAGCCACCCTATAATTATTTTGCGATTTAAAAAAAAAATATTTTTTTTTTCTGTATTTATTTTTTCCTCATATTTTCCCAAAACAAATGCAGTAAAGCCCCGAATAAAAGCCATAAAGAAGACAAGTTAATCTGAACAATCATAGGCGTAACTTCCTTAAGGACTGGTGTGGACATGTCCCCACCAATATTTTGTACACGTATTTTGCTTTCGGTGCTGTGTATATCTGATTAAAACCCCATTCATGCCGCTCCTCAGAAAGAAAATAAAAAAAGTTCTCCCCGCTGCTCACCGTCCACAAACCCCGACAAAAAACTCAGAAAAAAGATTCTGTTGCCTCTCGCTTTCTCCCCATCACCCCCCTCCGCCCTCTCCCCATAACATTTGAATTGAAGATATCCGCGGGTGACGGGTCGGGTTCGGTAGTCATCCTAACGGGTTCGGGCGGGTGCGGGTTGGTAAAACTCGACCCATGCAGGTCTCTAAGCTACACTACATTCAGTATCGTTGCCATAGAAACAGACAACAGCGCCAATATATCAGAATTATACTAAAACACACGCAAATAATTTCCCACATAAAAAACAGGACTTTCAGTCCATTACAGTTTTCCGTTTTTAGAGGGTTGTTTATTTTGCGTTTATTAAGTGATGGCTGTGGTATATTAGCTTTCACTGCTATAAGCTTTCGCAGCAGTGATTGATTAATTTAAACAGCTGCTCTGCTGATGGTCTATCGGAGTTGGTGTTTAGGTTGAACATAAAGAACACCTTTTATTTGAAGCTTCTTGAAGCTACTGTTTTAATCCCGGCTTCACTTAAAACTTTTTCCTGACTTTGATAGTGTTGCCATTCAGTAGCAAGCACTGCGCCCCTTTTTCTTTTATATGTACACGTACATTTAAGATTTAGCGTGTTATGTTGTCAACTCATGAGCAAGCTGCTTTTTGCAATCTAGCAGGAAGGTAAGGATAGGATCTTGCAGGTGTGACGTCACTCTGCAGGGGGTCCAAAGATAAAAGATTTAAACAATTTTGGCATTGGAATTTCAGATTTAAGGGAGTTAGAAAGTTCACTTAGTAAAAGTGCAAATAATAAATCTGATTACCGATTACTTTTAAGCTGGTTGAACATACTGCGACAGACTGGTGACCTGTCCAGGGTGATCCCACCTCTCACCCAGAACGTGGCTAGAGATATGCACCAGCACCTCCTGATCCCACTGAGGGATAAGGTTAAAGAAAATGGATGGTTGAACATGGTCCGCTCTCCCAGATTCTATCAAATCAGTATTGATACCCTCAGGGGCGGATTTAGGAAATTTGGGGCCCTAGGCAAAGACAGGCAGGGGGCCCCCTGAGAAGAAAACCCATAAAACAGACCCATTCTACAGATAGAGAAATGTTAATAGAATAGACATCCATTATTTGTTCTAGGTTTTGTCCCTCTCTTCTTGTCCCTTTTTCCTCTCTATTTATCAGCGTTCTGACGGCATTTTAGCCAAAGGATTTTTATCAAAAACATAATTAATGTGCACAAATAAGGATTAGTTGTATTAACCATACATGGAAACAGAGTTTTATGGGGCCCCCAGAACTTGGGGCCCTAGGCAACTGCCTAGTATTGCCTAATGGTAAATCCCCTCCTGGATACCCTGCTGGTGGATGTTCTTGACAGAAAGACAGAGTTGCTTAATCATATTCTGCTTAAGGTCCCATAAGATCTTGTCCGAGTCCTGGTTTAAAAGTAAATTAATTTTAAAAAGTGACCCAAAATTGACTGTCAATAAATGTTCTACAAAATTGATATATTTATTTGATTTCTTTGATTTGTACTGTCTGTTTAGATTTATGTAATATTTTTTGCACAAAATATATAAGTGAATATTGTAACAGTTATGTTTTCAACTGTAAGCATTAAATTGATAAATGTTATTCGCATTTTTTTGGCTTTATCATTTCCAACAAAAAAAAAAGGCGTCGCGCAGGTAGCTCCCTTTCCTTATGAGCCGTCCCCACCAACTTTCAACACAAAGTTACACCCTTGTCTTAGACAACACCTTAGCAGGTGCACTGAAAAAATTCGGCGCGCACCCTGCGCGCGCATTATCTTCTAGGGGCTGAGCCACCCTTGTCTCTTAAACCTAGAGACGCCCCTGGGGGAGATTCCTTCCTGTTAGAAGGGAGTTTTTCCTCTCCACTGTCGCTACAAGCATGCTTAGTGTGAGGGGTTGCCTTCCTTAGAAGGAAAACTTTGAATCAGTTTGACTGGATGATCTGGTTGAATTGTAAAGTGCCTTGAGACGACATGTGTTGTGAATTGTTGCTATAGAAATAAACGGAATTGAATTTCAGCTGACAGTCATGTTAATTGATTCCTTGACAAGAGCAGGTTTGATTTAAAATGTTCTATTTCTAAAGTCTACACTTTACAGTTTTCCATTTTTTTGGCAATTTGGAAACAAGATTTACATAATTTATCTTTATTATTGATTGTGTTTTGTTAATCAATGCTAAAATTAGCTTCTGACTTAGCATCGACCTGTTGTGCTGGTTTAAACCTTTTTTTTTTTCTGTTTTGCAATTTTATGAAATGAAACTTTGAATTTGAACCAGAATATTTTACGTAATGTGGTTTGTGATCTCTGATATCTTTATTTTGTATGTAAAAAACAAAGAAACAATCAGAATCTTTGATGCTCTTTTGCATCTTAGGCTGGTGGAGCTAAAAAAGAACCACCAAGTTCATTTAAACACATTTAAAAGGGAGATAAAGATATTAATCTTATCATATTTTTTTATTTAGTCTAATTAAATCTGTGGCTATATTGTCATTGGCACCAAAAACCTTTTTTTTTTTTTTTTTTAGCTAGTATTAACAGTTGTAATGTGACAAATTATAGATAATGTCATATCAATGTAAAATGATTTAAAAAATATTGTAGCCAACAAATGCCCTGGAAACTGGAATATCTTAACATCTTCAATTTCCTTTTTTCACCCCCATGTGATCTAATCCAGACCTCAGATTAGTTTAAATCAGATTTTCTACTTTTACACGATTGACTGCTCAGCAACTGAAGGACGTTTTTGATTTTTTTTTTCAGTTTTTCAGATTTAAAACAAAGCGAAACACCGACCTCTGCTGGTGAAAATATAAACTACACCTTGGGGTGTTCCACGGTAGGTAACTTTTGTATGTAATTAATGCAAACTCGAATAAATAATTTCCAAACATGACTTTTATTTGAATTGCATTTAGATCATTTATTTCATTTCCCATTGGTTGGTTTCAGAAAATAACACTCTTCCATTTATACCAACACTTCAGCATCAGTAACAAATTGCACTTTTACTAATTTCCTGTTACAAAGCTGCATCCAGAACATTCTAAAAGGAAAGGTGAACAATTTTTTACCCTGATAAAAAAAAATGAAAATAGTATTTGCACTTCCAGTTATCACAATCTATACAGTATTGCACTACAGAGCAGAAAATAAAAGCTTTTCTCCAAAATTAAATATACAGGAAGGATAACAGAAAATCTGGATAAAGAAAATTTAAAGTTTTATCTCATATGTAATAGAATCGCTGTTAATAAAAAAAAAAACTGTATTAACAGATAAAAATTCCTTTTAAAATTAAATAAATAGATTAATACTACTGAGATATAACTAAATCTTTATAGTCAAATATATTTTTACTAATCTAAAATTCCTGAAATGAACAAATAATAAATTGATGTTATTGATGAAGAGGGTTAAAAACCCTCTTCAGGAGTCCTGAGTTGAGTCTTCTTAGAGGTCCTTAAACGTCCCAGCAGACTTTCTAGCTGAAACCATCCTCCCCCCGAGCGGTCACACACACGGCGAAGGGACAGGGAGCCAGCGTCAGGCCGAACCGCCCCTGAAGAGACGGAGCAGCTTCCCCGTCTGGGAGCCGGAACCGGAAGGCCTGCAGCAGACCGGTGACGGTCAGGAAGAGCTCCATCTTAGCCAGCTGCTCGCCCATGCACACCCGGCGACCTGGAGGCCACACCAGTCAAACCATTAGATTGTTGATCCACACCAAGGCTGTCTCAGTGAATAAGAATATATCAATGAAAATAACATGTGGGTTACTTTAAAAAGAGAATTCACTGATTAATCCTGATTTAGATTTAATCCAGATTTATTACACACATAGCTTGTTGTGACAACAACTTAAAGGAAAATGAGAAAAAAAAATCACATCAGAAGTTAGTTTTTAAACAGAAATGTCAGCCTCTTCAGAATCTCCATGTATTTAGTTGTTTATATTTACTACATACTCATTCTGGTCTCCTTTTGCTTAAATTACTGCATCAATACAGTCATGAAGGAATTTGACAGCATTTTTTTTTTGTCTTATTCCGGGTCTGTTTGCTCACCTTTTCCCACCACAGCTTTTCCTTCCACTAAACCTTTTATTGTTTGTCTGCAATAATCTCTTTCCAGCCTCCTTAGCAATGACCTTTTAATGCTTCCCTCCTTTGTTAAGGGTCTCAATATCTGTCTTCTGTCCATCTGTGAAGTTAGGTATGAAGTTTGAATTCAGCCTAAGGGGGCTAAAATGTCACAAGTACTCATACAAGCAGTTTTATTTAAAATACCAGCATGCAAACTACATTCCAAGTGAACTTTAAATGTTTTTCAGGTTTTCCAAAAATGAGCTCAAACATCTATTTATTGAATGCTTTCCTTTTGTTGAGAACACAAGAGAACCATAATACACTGATATTTATATTTATAGATAGTCAGTGAGATGTCTTTTAGTGCATTATATATAGGGCCCAAAAGCGTTAATGTATAAAAAAAAATAATGAATAACAGCCGATTCCAACGCCAAAATCGATAAATCATGCATCCCTAGAAGTACAGTTTCAATTCCATCCATTCATCCATCCAGAAAAATATGGATATATTGCATTTTAAATATATCAAAGCATATTTTTTTCTTGAGTACTTGCTGGTAAACTTTGAGATATATTCTGTTGCGTGTTGCAGTAAATCTATTTCCCTTTTAAATCTGCAGCTCTCCCTGCTTCTCTCTGTTTAAAAAGATTTATGAACCTCTTTACTAATATAATGACGCCACAAACAAAAAGTCAAGATATGTAGAAGCTCTGCAGTCTGATTCTGTCTGTTCAATAAGAAAACATTTTAACCTGTAACTGGGAGTCATGGTCCTCTGAGACGCCCAGCCTTTTTTTTAACTAGTAAAGAAGAACAAACTATGTTTTTTCAAGCTTCTTGCATTATAATACTAACTTGTATAAACTTAGAATTTGTTGCCATTTTTAGCTGAAAAAGCTCCATGTTTAACAAACAGATTTTTTCAGTGGTATGATCTCTAAGTTTTTTTAACCAACCCGTCTCCTAACTTTAACTTAAACATCGAAGTAGCTGCTGGTTAATTTTCACTGAGTGCTGCTGTGAGTCTCTCCTCTAACCACGAAGCGACTCTCCAAGCAGTGAAATGCGACCGCAGATCAAATGTCTCAAAGCGACAGATCTGATGATGTTACACTGAGAGGCAGGACACAGTAGCAGCGCGACAGAGGAAAAAAAAAACATAGATTGAAAACGCTCTGAACACAGTTAGCTGCAACCAACCTCTGTTACCTTTGGCTAAAGAAAATGAGCTGAAAATGGAAAAAAATAACAGAGATTATTGGTGGGGACATGTCCACACCAGTCCTTCACAAAGTTACTTCTGTGCAATGAGGCCTCCAATGTGTCACAACCATGAGTTCATGCTCCTTCTCTTGCTTCCTTGACCTCGAACTCAACACTACCCCTGACATTTTGAATTGCAAAAAATTCCTGGATGGGAAACGAAACGTCTTCAAACTTGGAAACAAAGTCCAGCGGATTGTTTTTAATTTTCTTTTTTGGGAGTTTTTCCTGAAAAGTACCATACCATACCATACCAACTTTATTTATGAAGCACTTTATACACCGAACAGGACCAAAGTGCTGTACACAATCATAAAATACAATAAAATTATAAAATAGAGAAAAAACGAGTGTAAAATACATATTAGTATACAAAAAGAATAAAACAAAGTAAAACGTCTCAAATTGTGTCAAAAGCCAAGGAAAAAAGATGAGTCTTAAGAAGGGACTTAAAAGCAGTAAGAGAAGAGGCCTGTCTTATGCTCAGAGGCAGATCGTTCCACAGCTTAGGAGCTGCCACAGAAAAAGCACGGTCTCCTCTGAGCTTGCATTTCGTCTTTGGGACCCTCAGAAGCAACTGATCAGCTGACCTGAGGGAACGGGAGGGTGTATAAGAATGTAACAGCTCAGACAGATAAGAAGGAGCAAGGCCATTAAGAGTTTTAAAAACAAATAAAAGAATTTTAAAATTAATCCTTAAATGTACTGGCAGCCAGTGTAAGGAAGCTAAAACAGGGGAAAGTAGGGAAAAGTAGTCACTCCAACCAGGCAGTTTACTTTCTCAGGTTGGTTCCTCCTTCAAAGTGATAAAGGTTGACTTTAGCCACAGAAACAGGTCAGTAGGACAGTAGGAGAGAATATACAGGGGCATAAAAAAGGAAACTAGCTTGAACTCATGGGTGTGACTTATTAAGGACCTCATAGTATTGAACCTGCATTCAAGAAAAGTTCAAAATGCGCTTGAAGACTCAGTATTTATTATACATGTGTACTTTTAGGAGAATTCTGTCTTCATATTAGAAAAATTCTGGGTTTTTACCAGCAATGATTCACAGTCATCATTACTAAGGAGAATATATAAACCATCTGATGATCTTCAGGACTTTTCAGGTGAACATGAATGTTTTAGTCATGTAGCTCCTGAGTAAATGAGTGCCGTACCAATACCAAAGGGTATGAAAAACTCTCTCCTCAGCAACTTTCCATCATCATCCAGGAACCGAGCTGGGTTGAAAGCGCTTGGATCGTCCCACACACTGGGATCTCTATGGACCGAATACAAGTTGGGCATTATAACTGTTCCCTTGGGGATGGTGAAGCCTCTGAACTCTGAAAGAACAGCGTAAGAGAAGATGCTCTATCTCCATCTCTGTGAAATGCATGAGATCAGTTATTTTATTATTCAGGGGTGGCGTTACCTGTGGTCTCTGAAGCCATGTGAGGAATGCCGAGAGGAACCACTGCCGTCAGTCTCTGCACTTCCATGATGGCGGCTTCAGTAAAAGGCAAACTTCCTCTGTCGGTCAGAGACGGAGGACGCTGGCTGCCCACCACTTGGTCGATCTCTGCCTGGACCTGCTCTGAAATCCAAACAGAAAGGTGGATTCACCATGGCAACCAGAGCAAACAAGTGCATCCAGATTAAAATGAGGACAACAATTAAATTGCTGACCTGTCAGTTTCTGTTGTGAAGAAGTGGTTAAATATTTACTGAGTGAGACAGACGATCTTAAACCCCAAAAACAGGAAGTGCAGCAGACATGGGGACCCACTGAGGATATGAATTCCTTTTTTAATTTTTCATTTTTAACCAATATTCTGCATGAAAGGGGAAGAGAGCATCTAGACTTCTGGTCCATTACAGCCACAGACCTTCATGTTTTCTTTAGGGATTTCAGACTGAAACCACAAACTGGGAAGCTGCAGCAAAACAACTAATACAGTTCAGATAATAACAATCTGAAACATACAGCATGCTCCCCTCCTTTAGTCTGACACCCCAAAATCTACCAGCGCTACTATCCACAAGTCATACATAGAGTCCATCTGTTTGTGTTTCAGCTTCAGAGTAAAAGCAGCTGGTTTTATGTCTGCCTACTGGAGATCTTAGAAGAGCTAAAATCATCATGAAGACCAAAGAATGCAACAGACAGGTTACGTCTAGTTATTTTATGGGACATTTACAGTTATGTCTTTCTGTATTTATGTCGGCCATCCATACATTTGAGAGATTATGATTGTGAAAGCCATCCTGTGAACCCCCAATTGGTGTCTTGTGACGCCCTGGTGGGTCGTGAACCTCACTTTGAGATCCCTTGTCCTAGAAAACCCTGTATTATTGGGGAAATAGAAAATGTGTGGAGGAAAGTTCTCTGGTTCGATGAGAATTACGTCTTTAAAGTCATAGGGAAGCGGCTGTTCCAACCGTTGCATTTCTCCCGAGTGGTGCACGACTTTACACGAGTGAATAAAGTGAATATGATTGGTCGTTTATCAAGGGGGCGGGATTATTGTGGCGGAAGGTTCGCAAGCAAGTTTGATTGTGGCCGGTTTGTCTGAAGCATCTTGCTAACCAGTTAGCAACTTAGTGCTAGTAGGTTCCCAATGGGAAATTCCATTGGGACCAAGTAGCACTAAATTGGTGACTTAGAAACGATACTGTCAAGGAACGCCAGGACAGAGGAAACATGCAAGAGGAGGAGAGTTTAGTGTCGGAGGTCGTGGAGGAGTCTCCTCCGTCATACATTTTTTATTTAGAGGAGGAAAGCGGGGACGAAGATGTTGTGGAAGAGGACGCCAGGGCGGCAGAAGCTTGGTTTGGTGTAGAAGGCTTACAGCCGTACATGTTTGAGCCCTTGCCTCGCAACGCTGCCAGTTCTGTTAGCTCTACGCCTGCAGAGGACACAGACGTCCATCGCCATGAACACTGGGACGGAACTCAATGGTTCTTATTTCAACCGTTGCGTATATTAGCTGCGAAATATGAATCAAGAGGCTATGACTCAAAATATTTGATTGACAAATGACCGTTGATATATGATTGGCCGAATTTAGGTGTTCAAGCTGACGTATAACTAACTGAATTTCTTCTTTAAATAGAGATGTTCTAACTTTTTGGATAACATCGTCTGATAAAGAGGACATTTATATACATGTTTAAGCCAGAATGATTTTAAATTTAAACATGTTTTCCCTACTACTTTAAGCTACATCTGTGGCAGCATCATGCTGTGGGGTAGCTTTTTCTTTAGAGGGGACAGGCCAAACAATCAGACTTGGTGAGAAGACTGATGGAGCTAAATCCAGGACAACCCTGGGGAAAAAAACAACCTGTTGGAGGCTGAAGAAGACTGGAGACGAGGGTGGAGCTGGAAAAGCAGCCTGAACGTCGGTTTGGATCAGAGCAGATTCATTTCTTAGAACGGCCTAGTCAAAGTTCAGAGCTGAAACCTTCTCATCTTTGGATCTGATGATCTTGCACGTTTTCCTCGAATTCTAACTAAGCTTCTGCTCTTTTGCAAAGAGTTAACATTTTCAGTTTCTAGATCCAAAGCTGTTGAAGGCAAACAATTCACCCTAAAAGTTTTTAGTATCTTTCTTTTTAAAATATTTTGCAAATTAGGCTAATCTGTGTTGATGTAATACAGATGCCTGTGGTTGTTCTACAGTGTGGAAAAGCCAGCGAACAGCTAAAAGTTCATGTCAGCCTCGGGTTGAACACCTTCAGGAAACCAGATCCGTCTGATTGGATACAAAAAAACCTGAAATGTAACAATAAATACTGATAATAAACTCTATATTTAGGGTATCTGTGACTGGAATGTATGATTTATCCTAATAGAGTTAATAAAACGTGGCTCACTGACCCAAAAAACACGTTTCTCTGAAATCAGTCTGATAGACCTTCAGAAAGTCTACTGATCAGAACTAATCTGAATCCCTACAGATCATAACCTTCTACCTAAGCCTGTAGATGAATAAAAGCCGATGTCGCTGATAAAAATCTGGACCCTGTGTCCACATGAAGAGACACTGATAGACGGCTTTATTACAGGACTGTAAACACCATCTGAAGGTCAAAAAACTGGGTCAAAACGGGCAAAAACAATTTGAATTCAAACATAAGGATTTTAAAGATCTGAATTGCTTAGTTTAACTAAAACAGATCTGTTGCTAAACTGTCCAGATTAAATTAGGTTAAAGGGACACAGTCACGTTATATGACTTTCTTTAAATTATGTACGCCAGTGGCTCAATCTGGTTATATACACAGATTACTACATCCTTCTGGTGTTTTATTGGTTATTTTTGTGTATATTTACAACAATAAAGGAGGTATTCTTGCTGTGTATGTGTGCAGCGGGAAAACAAGAAAGCGGCCAGCCAGTTAAAGTCCCCCGGTCAGTGAAATGTGGAAACAATTAAGAAAAGTTCAAGATCCAGTTTGAAAAAAATGCAAAAAGAAAATTAGATTCTAAGAGGGATAAGACTGGAACAAATCTGTGTTAGGTTTATTGTTTTATACATCATGTGCATTGTTAATTTGTTAGTCAGAATAGACAGAGTAGAAGGCCTTCCTTCACATTATGGATGTCACGGTGTGTACGGAGGTCATCTAATCAAGACAGCCTTCTTGTCTTTAAGAGTACACAGGATATGGGCACATCTTGGAGCCGGTCTGATAGAGGATAGCTATCTGTAACCCTGAGGCATAGAAGCAAGCTGTATACGGGTCAGAGCATGGATGGCGTGTCAGTTTCTGATACGGACAGCTAAGCATCCACCTGATGCAACACATAGACTCACAAGGTATAAGACGCAGGAGATGACCTTCATCGGGGCTCAAACTTTGTCGGACGCTTGCGGACGTGATTTTTGAGACCACAGCTGTGCAAGCTCTAAGCATTTTTCTCTGTCCTGTAACGACCTGATCTGGAATAAACTTTTTTACTCCTGTTTTTATAGTCCTTTTTTATATGGTTTTACCCAGTTTGAGTTAAGAGTAGTAAATAACTTGCTCCCAGGAAAAGAACCGGTGAGGAGTCCCCCGGGGCGCTACAGCCTTCCTTCCAAGGGGACAAATCCTTCTCATTTTATCTGGAACAAAGCACCAGTTTATTTTTCAAAAATTGAACCCTAAACTAAAAACAGCTCCAAATGTTGGTTTTCTCACTTTTCACAACAAAAAGTAAGCAAATCTTTTCCCTGTTTTAATAAACTTAAAGGTTTAAGTACCGACTAACCCACTCAATAGTGTCAAAGTTTAAAATACCTTGTTTTCTGAACCAGCTTAAATTATTTCCCCTTTTTTTTTAACTTAACACATCTTAAAATAGTGGCTAAGCTCATAAAAATGAAACAGAAAACCTTACTAACTGAACAGCTAATAGCTTGTGGTACTTTGAAGAGGTCCAATATACTACATTATAACAGATACATTTACTAGATGTAATGGAGTTGGCAAAAAGACTAAGGAGGTTCCGTAGGTTGTCCATTGTAGTTGTTCCTCGGTTTTTAAAAACCGAATCGAGAAGGACGACCACACAGACAGCTGGAAAGGCATACCAAGGACCAATCACAGCTGCTTTTTGTCTGCGTCAGAAGCATAAATTGGCCTTTAGAAGCGACACTGTCAAGGAACGCCAGGACAGCGGAAACATGCAAGAGTAGGAGAGTTTAGGAAAGCGGGGACGAAGATGTTGTGGAAGAGGACGCCAGGGCGGCAGAAGCTTGGTTTGGTGTAGAAGGCTTACAGCCGTACATGTTTGAGCCCTTGCCTCGCAACGCTGCCAGTTCTGTTAGCTCTACGCCTGCCGAAGACAGACGTCCATCCCGTGAACACCGGGTGCGTTAATTATTGTTTGTTTATCGTTTTGTTTCGATGCATCAGTCCAACAGCCGAGGATCCGATGCATCGACACGTCCGCAAGAGTATCGATTCGTCTTTTTTTTTTCCTCCGGTCTATTTTTTATAATTTGCTCCTAGACGTGATTCTGACTCCCGTGCTGCGGTGGCGCTAAACCTATTTTGCCCTCCTACCTCACTTCCTTTAGCCAATACCCTCTTTCTGCTTACACACACACACACACTTGCTTAAACAGTAGGCAAGACAGACGTGTTGGAGGAAAAAGAAGATGGTGTATTCTTGAGTATCGAAAATAATCGAATCGTTGGGTCAGGAAACTGATACTGAATCGAATCGCCATGATGGGTGTGATTTACACCCCTAGTGAACACTGGGAAATAACTCAACGGGAAAGTAAATTATTCTTATTTCTTATTTCAACCGTTGCGTATATTAGCTGCGACATATGAATCAAGATGCTGTGACTGAAAATATCTGATTGACAAATGACCGTTGATATATGATTGGCCGAATTTAGGTGTTCAAGCTGACGTATAACTAACTAGAATTCTTCTTTAAATAGAAATGTTCTAACTTTTGGGACAATATGGTCTGATAAAGAGTACATTTATATACATGTTTAAGCTAGAATGATTTGATATTAAGATATGATTTCCCTTCGACTTTTAAGTTTATGTTTATTCCTCCAAGTGATCAACCTCTAGTCTGACGCCCTCCTCTCTGATTCATGCTGCTGCTCTTACCTTGGATATCGGGGTAGAGAACCATGTAAAGTAGAACCCAGAGAACTGAATTGGTGGTGGTGTCGGTTCCAGCTATGAAGAGGTCTCCTATTATGTAAAACAGATAGTCCTCTGTGAAGCTGCTGTCCTTCTCTCCTGCAGCCTGCTGCGCTAACATCTCCATCAGGTACATGTCGGTGAGATCCCTGGGGTTGTTTGGGTCCAACGTCTGGCTGTGGTTTCCGATGATCTTCTTCAGGAACACGGTGATGTCTCTTTCCACCTGCCGTAGCTCCTTAAAGACCCCAAAAGGCAGATAGTAGAGCAGAGGGAAGATGTTGATGAGGACCGCCGGACTGTTTATGCAGATCTCCAGACCCCGCGCCATCAGGTCCAGGATGGTGCGGAACTCGGGGTCCTCGTGATGGAAGCGCTGACCCAGGATCAGGGAGCAGATGACGTTCGATACGGCGTTGCCGATCAGCTTGGCGGGGTCCACGCCAGAGCCGCCGCGCTCTTCGCTCAGTCTCATTAGCTCCGCTTTGACGGAGGCCACGCCCTGCTGGATGCAGGGCTCCAAACTTAACCTTCCAAGGCCGAAGTTCCTGAGGGTGGAGTGGCAGAACTTCCGCTGCTTCCTCCAGACTGGCCCATAAGGTGCAAACACGATTCCTGGAATAACACCGGAAACAGGAGACGCATTCAGTTACTAACAGATTCCTGCTTTTTTTATTTTTGTTTGACCTGAACATTTAAGGCAATCTTCAAAAAGATTAATATGAAACAAATACAACCTGAATAGATACAAAAATATCGTTCCTAATAATTATTCTATTAATCAAGAATATTTAGCTACATTAAACCCACTGAGTGGAGTACTTCATGGTGGACCTAACTCTGGTGGTCAGTGTTGTGTCCCAGAGCACAGGTCTACTTCGTGCTGTCAGGCAGGCTCTATTTATGGGATTTAGTCTGATTAAAATAGGAAAAACAGAACTGATATTTTTGGACCAGCTTTTCTTCACATTGCAGTACAGAGACACAGCACCTTTGACCGAAGGAAATTAGACAATCAGAGAAAATTCACTCTTAATTTTGGAGCAAATGGAGCAAATAGACTTTGACGTAAAACCTTGAAATACTGTATTTTAACCTTCTTTACCACACATATCTCTGTCAAATCATTTCTAATTTATTGGCAACTGAAGAGTAATTCTAAATTATTTGGAGTTTTATTATTTTTACCTTGTAAAAGTTAACTAATTTCTCAGTTATCAACAATAACAAATGTTTGTAAAAAAAAAATCTGAATTTCAACAAAACATTAACATTTATTACTAACTATCGCTTCTAAATGGAGGGAGTTTTAATGTATGCATCCTTTATGCCTAATGAACGCAGAAAAAACATTCAAATATCGGCCCAAACGCTCAGCCTGTTGACGTATTAGTCGATCTGCAGGGTTTATACAGGAATGAATTACTAATTTAATGCTCTTTTAATGCTTTTAGAAATAATTTGAATGCCATCAACAAGTAAACATGACTCTCATATACATATAAATATATATATATATATAGATTTATCGTTTTCCAGCCACTTTTATTGAAATTTGTATTTTCCTTTTCTCTCAATTTTTCTCCGCCTCAAGCTTTTTTCCCGAACATACGGCTTTACGATCAACCGGAAGCAGTTCCACGCAGATGAATTGCAATATAATATATCTGAAGAAAATGTTTTTGTAAAAATATTTTTTACATTTTCAATAAAGCATTTTAAATGCCATGATAATCACATTTAATAAATATTAATGTCAATTAAGGCCTTAATCTCAAAAATAAAAATGTTATGACTTTTAATGATTTTAAATGACCGGTGAAAACCCTGATCTGTAGCAGGAGTGGGTACAATAATCAATATTAACGATACACCTTAACAATATAGTATTTTATTTATACTTCTTTTTTCTAATCAAACAAAATTATTTATAATAATATATTTATTCTGAACAAAAGCATACAAAATAAATAAAAAGTACAGGGTAGCACGTTTTTTTAATAAATAAAACAAAAAAATATATATAAATAACTTTATATTTAAACAAATGCCAAAACACAATCTTAAATAAAAAGTATGTTTTATAATTATATATAATACATGGAATGACAGAAATGATTAAAAAGACTTCAAATTTATATTAAAATAAAAATAATTAATTCATGTATTTACATGTTTAACCCAGAATTATCTCAAAATTAAATATAGTTTTCCTACGACTTTAAAGTTTATGTTTGCTTTAAATCTTTGTTTTTCTGAAAGTCTTCTAAGAATCCTACAGAATACCAAGCAAAACACATGAGCCCAAAGCATGATGCTGCCACCACCATGTTTCATGATACCAAAAGGAAGCAGAGAGCCCATAAAACTATGTATTAAAGTTTTAGTAACGTTTACATGAAGTCTGTGTGTTTGTTGCCTCCTTACCTTTGCGTTTAGTGAGTATGGAGATAGTAGGAACATCTGGACGGTCAGAGAAAACCTCTGGATGGTTTGACAGGGCATCCCTCACCGCATCGTAGCCGTTCAGGACAACGAGCAGCTGGCTGCCTACGAACAGGCTGTAGATGTTCCCGTAAACCTGGGCTTGAGACGTTAGAGCCTCCATGACTCCAATGTTCGGGTCGGGGATCTGTCCGAACCTCCTCCTGATGAAGGGAGGCACCAGCAGACCACCGAAGTTCCCGACCACCGGCCACGGCTGGGGACCTGGAGGGATGTTCCTGTAGACGCTCCGCCGCTTCTGGTAAAAACTAGCCAAATAAAACACCGCGAAGAAGAGAAGCAAAGGCGCGAGGTTTGACGGTGACAGAGCGAATCTGCTCAGGTCTCCCAGCCATGACAGCGAAGCCATGCCGTCTGAGAAAACAGTCAGAGAGCTGGCATCTCCCGGACGTTATAACGTTTTAACAACAACAGCCCGCGTGCTCTTCCTGTCTTCTTGTTGTCGGCCGCTTTTCCAGCATTCCTATTGGCCAGCAGCGTCCGAGGTCTGCTCTGATTGGTTGGCTGCAGACTTCTGCTTAAACTTTTCTGTCCCTCTAGTTTGTCTTGCAGGTGGAACAACAATAGTTACAACACGAAGGTTGCAGAGTTACATGAAATCAATAATAGTAGATTTAATGAGAACCGGGACGTAATTGACATCTTTATTACACAGGAATTTGTATTTATATCTATATTAGAACTTTACATTGACTGAAATGTATTGTAGTTTTTGCCCAAATCTGAAATGTACCCAAACCATCACCGGTTATATTCCTAACCCTAACCTTAGCCTAAAGTAAATTCACATCATAGCTGTGTATCGTATACAACAGACAAGCTGATGCCTGTTGTATACGTCACTGTCAATGAGTAACGTTGAAGGCAAATTATCATTTTCTGGGTTCTCAGTTGACAGTCACTGAGTGTTTTTTTAAACAGTGCGATCAATGGTTTATGACCAGTTTCTACATTTATTTCCTGTCCTGACACGAACTGGTGAAATCTCCCACATGCATAAGTTATGCTTAACAGCTCTTTCTCAATTTGTGCATAACGCGTCATTATCATACGTCATTGGGCGTGACGCATATGCAATGGGTTGCCACTAATAGTACAGCTGTAGAAGAACAGTTCCTAGTCCACTTTCTGATGCGTCGGATGAGATCTTGTGTCAGGAATCCAGTTTGTGTGGGTTGTTTTGTGTTGTGTTTTTGTGTGTTTTCCCTCCACCACCAGGTGGCGCCTGGTTCTCGTTGGCCCTCTTTCACACCTGCGGATGGTTGCCTCATTACCTGCGGACTCTTAAGCTGCTGACTGCCACTACCTCGAGACCAGAGTGTTTGCCAGTTTTGGGAAGTCATCCTGCAAACTGGATGTTTTGGACCTTCTCCCCCTGGAAGGATCGTCTGAGCTTCAAACTGAGCTGAGGATTCAAACAGGAGGTTTGGATCTACTTTTCCCCAAAGGATTGTTTGCGCTTCACACTGAGCAGGGGATTCATCTCCACAAGAAACTGTTCAAGCTCTTTTTTCTCCCGTGGAAAATAGGCTAACTGGTTGACTTAACTTGCTATGTTCTCTCCGGACTAGCATCAGACGTTTTTCAGTCCATCCTCTCTAATTCGCTGTTAACGTCCAAGATCATCCTCAAATCCATCTTCTGACACCATGTTTCATTTGTGTAGTGGGTTCTTCAATAAACACACAGGTACTTGAAGAGTACTAGGCTTTTATACAATGCACATGCGCCTCCCATCTAGCTCATATGTGCCACCTATCTAGCTCATAGGGAATTACATCATTAGGATGACCATTAAATTGTTCATATCATTACACTACTGGCTTAAATTTCCTCATCAGTAGCCAATCACAGGCAGTTTACTTTCTCTGCTTGATTCAAAAGTTACAAAAGTTGGCTCGAAGGAGCAGAAAAAGGTCCAGAGAATCAACAGGCACATAAAAAGCAATCGAAGTGTGCAGAGAAGGACCATGTGGCAAGGGGTCTGGTGTGACTGAATCTGCACACATTAAACATTTAAAATGCAAGTGAAGAGTAGTTCACATGCATGTGTTTTATATAAACTATTAATAACAGTACATATTACGCATGTGCCCTTAATCTGACTGTACTTAAAGCACACAATGAGGGAATAGGCTCATCTTAAATAATTTTTTATCTTAAATGTGAACCGATTGATGAGAAAAACCCAGCACACATTTAAAGCTGTTTGCTTTTATTTCAATACAATATTGAGGCTATAGTTTAGGTACTCGGGCCGCTCAAAGGAATACAAAACAAATGATATCAAAGCACATAAAAATAGACTGCGAGACAGATCATGGCAGCTTTGATGTATCTACACGTTAACACTCTAAGGCACCTCGTGGCTTAAATACACCGATAGTTCAAATACTTAGCATGGATGACACAGATCAAGTACAGCAACAGATCAGACACAGATGTTGTTCTCAAAAACAGACATTTTTTCAGCACTTCATGTTATAAATAAATCACAGAGATTTTCTTTTTTTTCCCTCGAGCTACGGTTAATTGTTTCCACCAATACGGCTGTAGGAGCTATTTCTCTATATTGTTATACTTTTGAATTTTCCTATTGGATGACTTTAGTCACTATTTATTGTCTAATTCTAGTTAGTTAGAATAAACTTGCTTAGTTTAAATTCTTATCTTGCTAAAGATATGGATATTTGGGGTTTAAAGGTAGATCAACATGCAAGTGGGTGGTCATGTAGTTTTCTTCCTGTCTGTCAGCGGTAAGCAGCCAGTCAGGATGGCAGCCATTCAGACAGTCAGGCTGACATGGAGCAACCAGAACAGGAGAGGAAACAAGTAATCCTGCCACATGTTGTTTACCTGCCAACCTGGAGTAAAACCACGTAAACCACAATCCCACGTGCATCAACCCACTATCTATTGTAAGTCACTATTTTTCTGGTTAGGTTTTTCATAGACAAATGCCTACAACGCCTTTTTGGTTTGTGCCAAGGAGGATTAAGGAGCTGCTTGACTGCCGCCTCGGCAGGTCCGGTCACTCTTCTCGTGAGCTCTGCACCATGGAGTAGGTCTTGCAGGGGTTCTTGAGGCAGGTAGAAGCGAAGGTAATGGGCCAGCTGTAGGAGCACGGCACCGACGTTTGGACGTTCCTCTCAAAGAAGTTAAATATGGGGTTCCACCAGGTGTTGGTGAGGTAGTTGTTGGGCGAGCACTTCAGAGTCTGTCAAAGCCAAATAAAACCAAAACACGTTTAATACACATATTAACCCTCAAGGTAATAAAGTAGCTACGCTCAGTCAAACAGAAACTGAAAATAATGGAAGCTAAGCAACAAATTAGGTCAAACATAATAGTAATAAACACCAGGATGTAAAAAAATTACTCATTCTAATTAAATATAATTAATTAAGGTGTTATTTCTCAAGCTTTTCACGTTCAAACGCTCCACTCTGATGTCATTTAATAAGTGTCTATCACTTATTATCCATTCGATATTTTATTCATACATTTCCAACATGCTATTATTTTTGATCAAGTTCATTGTATTTATTGTTCACCCTCTGATCTTTAGCTTTTTTTATTTTATTGTTTATATTCCAATATTTACAGTTTAATTAGTTGTTGTCATTTTTTAACATAACATTAGAGTTTTAATAATTGAAACCCATAACTTTTATTACTTGAAACTGATGTTTGTCTATTTTACTTTTTCAGCAATATTTAACTATTTATAACTATATAACAACTTTAATGTGTTTTATTTACTCTTGTTAAAAATATTTCACCTCTTTTCTTTCGTCATTTACAATTCATATGATTTATGTTCTGATATTAATCTTGATGAAGTGTGAAGCATTATGACTCATTTTCTCAGAGGAATACATTTCTTTTTTGGGGTAAACTTTCGAAATCTTGAAAGAGTTGGGCTTAAGGTAAGAAACTGTCCAAAGGAAGATTTGCGCAGCTGAGACTTTGGTTTTCACATTTAAACAAAGTACATTAATTAATTATTGTTATGATTCAACCTCAATCATATCTTGAGACAAATTTTCCCCATCAATGATGTTTACAGTAAAAGACAAAGTATTACTTTAACACCTACAGAGTTGAATATAACTCTGTTTCAGATAACATTTGGTCCCACTCCAAATTAGTGTAAAATTTACTCTATAGCCAGTGTCAAATTTTCAGGGTTAGTTTTATTCATTTAAGTGTTAAAATCAGTAAGACCTCTAAGAGACTAGCAGGTGATTAACACCATATAGAGTGAAAGTTACACTGCATGGAAGTCAATTTTTTACTCACTATTAAGTCCAAGACTTAGGGTTACACTCAGTCAGCTGTGTCAAAACTAACCATATTTTTTTACTTAAGTAGAAGTATAGATACTGCAGTTTAAAAGCATTCTGGTAAAAGTTGAAGTATCAAATTGACCTCTTTACTCAAGTAAAAGTGAAAAAGTATGTGCTCCAAAAACTATTTAAAGTATAAAAGTATAAAGTAACCTTTAAAAAAAAAACAGCCCGATGCCACTATATGAACTGAAAGCTCAATTTTTTGACTATTTTGAAAAATTCTTTGAGATAGGGCAAAGGATGAGGGAGGTCTTGTTGGTCTCCGTCTCCCGATACACTCTCGCCTGTGTCCAACCTTTCAGAGATTTCAACATCTTTTTCTGAATCCAGCATTGTATGGCATAGACAATTCACGTTTGCAATTTGAAGAACACCTGCTTGCTTCTGATGATTTCCTTTAGCTAACCAGTGAGTGTTTGCGTTATATGACTCATCATTAGTACAGATCAATGATCTGTATTGGATGGCACACATGATGTGAAATAAATATTTATAAACGTTAAACCGAAGCCAAGAGTAACAAGTAACGTTTGTTTTAAAAAGGAAAAGAAAGTACAGATACTTGTATGAAAATGTAATTAGTAGAAGTCAGAAGTAGGAAGAAAAATAAGTAATGGAGTAAAGTATATAGATAACTAAAAGGGTACTTAAGTACAGTAACAAAGTATTTGTACTTCGTTACTTGACACCTCTGCACTCAGTATAGTTGTAAATACTCAATTTAGAGTAAAATAGGTCGACTTTGAATTTTTAACACCCAATATTTTGGTGTGACCTCTCTTTTCACAGTTAAATTCATAAAGTCGTAGGGAAGTGGCTGTTCCAACCGTGTAATTTCCGAATTCTCCAGAGTGGTGCCCGACTTTACACGAGTGAATAAAGTGAATGTGATTGGTCGTTTATCAAGAGGGCGGGATTGTTGTGGTGGAAGGTTCGCAGGCAAGTCTGGTTGTGGCCGGTTAGTCGGAAGCATCTTGCTAACCAGTTAGCAACTTAGTGCTAGCAGGTTCCCAATGGGAAATTCTATTGGGACCAAGTAGCACTAAATTGGTGACTTAGAAACGACACAGTCAAGGAACGCTATGGACAGCAGAAACATGCA